GCCTCAACTTAATTTTTGTAAACCAACCCTGCCATCACAATCCAAGCTGTTGCGAAATACGAATACATGGGAAGCTTGTCGTCCGTGGTTTCCTGAGAACAGGATACCACTTGAGTGCAGCGCACCTTGTCCTTGTCTATTGTGTACTGTGTGAATGAGGAAGCCGTCCATGGATGTGAGAGCCAAGGAGAGGAATCCATCCCACTCCTTCCAACACTATCAGTTACATTCCTCACCAATCCTGCCATATCAGATGACCTTGTCTGCTATTCTGTGTCATTCTTTCCCACACAGTTTGACACTGTAACATGCATCCTGTTCTATCCAGTCCCTTTAAATCTGTCTCAAGCCAGATACAGACATCGCACTCTCTGATCATCTCCAAAGTAGTCCGCAGACTTTAAGATAAAGACAGATAAAAAGAGAGACAGAGTCAAACATCTTTTTGTTTCGCCTTCAGTTTAACACAAATCTCTCTTCATATAATCACTTATTTAAATTATGACAAGTGAAACAGCCTTCAGGCCCATACAATGTGTCCTGATATATAAACCATAAGCTAATTTTAAACGATCCCAGAGTAAAATACACTAAAAAAATAGATCTTAATTACAATGTAGACTATAATTATTACAAGCCTGTCGAGTAGTTGTCTCCATTGTTTGAAGGGTGGGTTGTCTTCAATATCTTGATGTGGTTAAACTTCTGCTGCTCTCAAATGACACAAGAGAAACAGCTCTCTTCATCACGTACTGTACATATCTGTAGATGTGAAGCCTCAACTGCAGCTTTCGTTGGGAGGAACATTTTATTTAGAGTTAAAGACTGGTTTGTGGTGCAGTTAAAAGTTCTAATTTTACTGTATGTGTCAAGTTGATTGACACAGTTTAAACCTTCAAATAAGTATTTAAATTAAGAATAAAGTCCACATTAAAGACAAATCTATTTTGACATGAAGGTTGACTAATTACAGCACCATCTTCAACTTAAAATCTTGCATTTTGTCATTTATTCTGGGATACAAACGTCTGAAATAGTGATTCCCAACCTTTTTTCGGGGCTTGTGACCTTGTAAAACAAAGCAATGTCTACTTGTGACTGCTCATTACCTGTTATATATGTCAGTGAATTCTGACAAAATCAACCACGAGTAAGTTTCATGTGTAAATTATATGTGCTGTTGCTTGTTTCTGTTGCCAACAACTGTACATAAAGGATAGTATTTGAGTGCCACCTTTTCTTTAAAAATCAATCAATCCACCAATTACTGAATGTGAATCAATTCATTAATGAAGCCATTTAACAACATATGAAGTTTGGTTTCGGGGCTATATACATACAGGATGTGTTCATCCCTGTTTAGTGGTTGTGAAAAATTTATTTTTAAAGTGAGGAAATAGAAAATACAAGTCCAAACATGAGTGGTGAATTCATTTAAATGTCAAATTGGACTTCAAATACTAAACTGAATGAAAGTGACACTTGAGAACTTGAGTTTAGTTTGGTCTTCATTTCATCTCTCTGTAGTTGCTGTAATACACCCCATGGAAAATGATATACAATCAACAAAAGCTTTGTTTTTTACACTAAATCTTGTTATAGCATCTTCATTGTCAATAGGACAAATTATTAATGTGACTAATAGTTTTGACACTTACCAACTTAATGTCACTGATCCCTTTTAGTGGTTAAATTATCAAAATGTTTAATAGTGTGTTGTCTTTAGTCCTTTTAATCTGAAATTACTGCTCACTGACACAGTACACTACAGTAGCTTTGTCTTCACGTGCAGTATTGTCTCGGGATATTTTCCTACAGAAATCAACTATGAGATAATAAGTGGTTGAATAATATCCTCTTCCAGCAGCTGTTGAAGTAAATGCAACCAATTTATGCCCATTCAGCTACATGATCTGTCCTCCTGTTGCAAAATAGCTGAGTTACAAACTTAAAGCGCTGCACTTACAAAATGGGTGTGTATGTTGTTTTATCATTGATTTAAACTTTGTTCTGCGGACAAAACAATGAATCAATACACATTTGAAAAATCAATAAAGTTGTGTTGATCAAAGAGCTTACTTACAATAACAGAAATAGTAGTGTGCCTTTAAGGGCTCCCCCTCTGTTAACACACAGACAGATTTTGACTTCCTGTCTGCCTCCCTTTGACAAAGGCATTTTTATACTGACTTTAACACATGGCTCAGATGAGTAAATTTAGAGTCAGACTGTTTCCAATTGTGTAACTGGTAGTTTGACTACTCTCACTGTTGCCTCATTTGTGCTCATGTTTCCAACAAAACCTCAGGAGCAATATGATTTTTACTGTGTAGAGCAACAACACAATTGTGTGTTATTTTGCAGGGTGTCCTCAAAAATGCATCAATGCCACTCTTCTTTGCACAAACAAGGAATAACTCATGAAGTTATAAGTTTGGTCCACTTTGGGGCCTCAGACAGTCTTTGTGGCATGCCGTTTTAGATGTTCATCTCCTGTAATGACTTTTTGAAAGCATCCATAATTTTCAAAGGGTCAGCCCTGCATTCCTTTGGAAGTTCACAGGAAGTGTGGTACAATGGAGGACAAAATGGCCAGAGGCGTTGTCCACCAACAGAGACACACATACATGCTGACACACACACACACACACACACACACACACACACACACACACACACACACACACAGGACACACACACACACACAGGGAGGGAGCAGAGGAAGTCGTGAGGTGGTGTTAAATGACATGACCAGACTTTTAAAAAGGTGGAGACGGTGCTGCTTCACAGTGTGGATCTGAAGGGGAAATGCAAACATGTCCCACTTTGCTGACCAGTCGCCTCCTTGTGAGTGCCGCCCACAGAGACGCAGTGTCTGCATGTTTTTTTTAAATAAAAGAGCCCATTTAAGAATACGCAGCATCTGAAACATGACGGGAATGTGTGTGTGTGTGTGTGTGTGTGTGTGTGTGTGTGTGTGTGTGTGTGTGTCTGTGTGTGTTTAATTAAGGAGGGTGAAAGAGTCAGAGAGATGATTGTTGACACATACCATCAGCAGTTCAATACAAACTCATTGGGCCTATAGATTTTTAGGTCTGATGAGATAATAGACCTGAGGCCAGTGGCCACATACTGTACAACAATCAATTCCTGTGGCCCATTTCTTTACCAATTCAGTTTGAGTTTGCATGTGTTTTCTCTGCTGTAGGCGTTTGGAGGGAAAATGTGGATCATGCAATGGCAGGATAGCATCTGTAACCCTCCCAGTTCCTTTCTGTCTCTCTCTCCACTGCCCAAAGATATGATTAGTCTGTTATGACTGAAATCTCTGCTATTTAAAGGGCCCACATTAAAAGTCAGAGTCTCTGTCTCAATATAGGCCTCAATATAGGCCTCAAAATAGCAGCAGTTAGGTCTGAGAGGTAATAAATAGCTCCGTCTTGTCTTTTGGCTTGGACAGAAATAAAGCCTGTCATAAAGATTTGCTTTCTCCCTCAAGGCGAGACGTTTATCTCTACCAAGGAAGCAAAAATAAACACGTGTCAAACAGTGCTGTGGTCTATCATCTGGAGAAGATGCAGAAAGAAACTGAACTGTATGACCAATTAAATGACCTAATTTGTCGACGGAGGGAGGGCTGTCCATCCATACATCTCGTGATTCTGTGTGACCTCGTCTCAGCGGGAGGGCGACCTCTGCATGTTTGAGATTTGAACCTGTAAATCAGCGGGAGGAGTGGTGCCCATGTGTGGCATTCCCCAGGCCCTGTTCTGCACCATGTAGTGTGCTGTTGGGTACAAAGAGCCACTGTGTTTGTAGCAATGGGGCATACCCAGACCTCAGATTCCAGGGGACAGCTGCCACACACACACACACACACACACACACACACACACACACACACCCGGGACACGCACACAAAGGCATGCACTACCTCAAGACCCTTGCAGACAATAATTCTCCATAGTGTCCTGCAGTGTATGCTGAGAGCTTGAATTCCTCTGCTAAATTACACATTACAGGGAGATATTAGAGAGACACTTAATGAATTTAGTAGTGAAGTAAGTGAGTGAATACATTTACTCAAGATAAATGAGGTACTTCTATTATGTCTCTTTATCCTTCTGCTCTTCAGAGAGAAATATTGCACTTTTTTTTTACTACATTATTACATCCATAGTTGCTGCTTTAGAGATTAAGATTTTACATGCAAAACATGTGATCAGATCTCCCCCCTTTCCTGTCAACCTTCCCCTGTCCTATTAAAAAAAGGCATAGAAAAACAGTATAGAATAGATAAGATTACCTCAAATTTGACCAACTACAACAATTAAGTACTTCTTGTGTCAAAATATTGTTTAAAATAATTTCCTAAAGTTTCACAAACAAATGATTAAAGTGACTAATTTTGTATGAAATACGTTAGATACAGTGTTCAATTGGTACACTCAATAAGATTTTAATTAATCAGCCAGTGAACCTCACAGCAGCTGAGCTGAACAATATGATTAATTATGAAACACTAATAGATAATAAGGATACAATGATGATATATGACTATAACTTTGACAGGGGCCATTTTGCATATATAGTAGGCCACTTGTTGTTATTGATACTTGAATGCAGTACCTTTACTTATTATGGACTGTAATATTCTTCAACTTAATCAAACGATCTGAAGACTTCTTCCTCCACTGAATGAGTTCATCAGGGACACAGAAACAGTGCAATGACCCGCGCTGCCGCTGAACACCTCAGTGAAGTCTCGTTGGAAGGACTTTATTTGTGCCCTTTATACTGAGCATGAACGCATTTACTCCCCAAAAAAGCACACATGCCCCGTCCTATACTTACATTTTAACTCCTCATTGGTAGCGATAAAGCGCACTGCAGCCTCCCCCCCGTGTGGTTTTACGCTTTTGATCCCAGAGGGACCTCGCGTTTAACATTCCTGGCATTCCGACCTCAGTCCCTCCTCGGTTACTTATTATCGCCGCCTGCTCTCTCCACAATCATTTCACAGCGAGAGACAGAGGAGCGAGGCAGCCCGTCCGGGGGGAGGAAGATGAGACACGTTTGACTCGAACAAAAAAAAACACAAACCTAATGGAAATAGTGGATTTACTCTGAATGTTTTACTTCGAGGTCGAGAACAACGGTTCGTTATGATGAGAGCGTGAGCTGGTAAGAAGAGCGTATTTTTCTATGTTTGCCAAAACAGAAAAACGAGCTCAAACATAAATAAAGTTGCGACATGGTGACTTCTGGTTCACGGTTTTGATAGTGTAGTGTGTTCTGAGGGAGTTTAAGGCTGTTGACGGTGTTTTGAACACGACAAATGTGCTTTAAGACCAAAGTTATTTTACAATGCGGTTTTGTGCGCTTTTGCTCCCCCGTGAGATTGGAATTTTAGGCGCATGCATTTTTTTGCCTGCTGTGGAAAAATGTCTCCACATCTCTTGTGTTGTCGCTGTTGGTTAAGTAGATTTACAATTTGACACTATTCTGATATAATAGCAGAACTAAAACCGTGATCAGGGAGAATTATACATTTTATTTGAAAGGAAAGATACATGATACCTGATATTAAAGTATGTTTTACTGTTATTGTAAAGGCCTCAAACAACCTTCCTTCTGCATGTGACTGTATTAATAGTATGTTAATGTACTGTATATGTATCAGTTGTCTCGTGTCAGATATGTTTAACCTCAGACTAATTGTACTTTATTCTCTTATTCTGCTCTGTTTCAGGTTCACAGCTGATTTATTTAGATATTTTCAAAATAAGAAAGAGCTCAACTGATCCCTAGAGAAGATAACAACGTACACAAAGCGATATGTCGTCCACTGAAGAGCCGTCTGGCACGGTCCTGCACCGGCTCATCCAGGAGCAGCTCCGCTATGGGAACCCCACAGACACCCGCACCTTATTAGCCATCCAGCAGCAGGCCCTGCGTGGAGGCAGTGGAAGCAACAGTGGACCCAGCAGTGGAGGCGACATGGGCAGGAGCCCACGATCCTCTCTTGAGAGTCTCACCCAGGAGGACCCTCCATTCCCTCAGCTCTCTGCAAGGCAGGAGCCCCAAGGCCAGGAGCACCAGGGGGACTACCACCACTCAGAAAGTGGCTACCAGCTTTACCAGCTGCACGGGGAGGAGCTGCCAACTTATGAGCAGGCCAAGGCGCAATCTCAGTATCAGGCCTCTCACTGGGCCCCTACAGGCCCCATCACGCAGCTCCATGATGGGATGCTCCTGCACGAGGGGGCCTTCCACGAAGAGGCAGATCTGATGGAGCTGAAGTGCAGCCATGTGCGGTCACTCAGTGAGCATCGCATGCAGATATCTCTACAGAGGCACGATGCAGCTGCTAAAGCGGAGGCCATCAAGAGCGCCTCTCACAGCTACCCCGAGCTGCCTTACTACACACCGCAAGGCCTCCAGAACACAAACCAGAGCCTGGACAAGCGAAGCCCACCTCCAGAGTACTCAGTCCCCATCCAGGGCCAAGGATTTATCCCTCACCAGGTCCAGGAGCCGATGCAGGCACAGCAGCACAGGTATAAAGACAACTTTTGGAGGACGTGATCATGTGTGATTGTGTTTTTTTAACATTGCATCATATTCTTCGGTGAAGTTTTGTACGAGAGCCAGACTTACAATCATCTTCCAGGACTCGTCGTTGTGTTTCACATGCGTAAACACATAGTAATCGATGTGAGTCACACCGTAGGCTGCGTAACGCTTCACATTTCCTTCTTGAAATACTTAGAGCAAAACAAGTCCAGCCCTGTAGGTGTTTGTAATGCCTGGCATACTGGAACAGGATAGTTTCGCATGCTTGTGTTGCCTCAGATGCTTTTATAGAAGTATGTTCCTCATATAGGCTTTTACATTCTTCACAGCCACTGGAGTCAGCTTGTCTGCTTGCTGATAGATGTGAATAGAGCGATAGTTCAGATGCCTCACACTTTTAACTCTAGCTGGGTCCCCCTAGAACATTCTGATTCAGCTGAAATTCAGGCTTAAGATATTAATTTTTTCTTTCTCTCATAGATATGTCCAGTCAGCTCAGCCAGCTGAACTCCCCTGCTACAGCACATTCAACAGCCTGCCACCTGCTGGCTTGGAGGAACCCAACCAAGTGGAGCTGCTGCTGATGGAGAATGAGAGGCTGAGGCAAGAACTGGAGGCACACAGAGAGAAGACTAGCCGTATTCAGAAGGTAAGGAGAAGAAATACATGAGAGAAAATATAATTTTTATGCAGCTGACATCAGGAGTAAGAATACCCAAAATCGAGCTAGATTGGCAATTTTTACATTTCCCAACATCCACACATCAGTCTTTAAATGTGGGAGTCAAATTTAGTGAATTCAGAGGGAAAGCCAGACAACATCCTCCATCTCAGCCACCTGTCTATGAAACACAACCCCGGTCGACAGTTGTCTCCCCGACATCCAACTCCAGGCACACTCCCTCATCTGGACTGGACAGATGAGATCAGCAGCTGCTACCTTCCATACCACAGTGGCACAAACAGAGGTCACAGCCTGCTACTGTGTTTACACACTCCTTTCATTGTGGAGCTGACCTGGTGGAGGCCAGAGAGCGTGTGTGTGTGTGTGTGTGTGTGTGTGTGTGTGTGTGTGTGTGTGTGTGTGTGTGTGTGTGTGTGTGTGTGTGCTTTAGTCCCAGGGAGGCCATAGATTTTCAGGGCAATCTAGGGCTTGTCAGACAGCAGTCGATCAGGTTGTGACCCACGCACACAGCTGATGCGGGTGGGGAGGGGGTCCATGGCAGGTGGTCAGCTGCTGTGTAAAAAGTGAAAGGTCTCTTTTGTTTTTCCAGCAAACAGAACTTTTTCCGCCACCTCACGTTTCCTGCCATTTTTTGGGGCCTTTCATGACTCTGTAACCAAACAGACCTAAAAATTTGTTGTTCAACATGGTGGAAACGGCTTCAGAGACATTTGACACCTCAGCTAGTCTATAAAATCCACTCTGCTGGAGTTATGTCACATGGCCCTTGCCTTGTCTCAGCCTTAAAGAATGATAATTGCCGGGGTTGGAAAGTTTTCTCCGTCAGGCCGCAGCCCTGAGTAAACATGCCTGTGTGACTGCTATAATGGTGGGTTTCTCTTTGCCGTTTCCACAACCCAGGCACAGGCATGCACACCTTCCCTCCGCTGGCATCCTTCCCAGACCTCTGTGTGTGTGTGTGTGTGCGCGCGTGCGTCTGTGTGAGTCTTTGTGTACATGTTAACTTGTGCTTCACAGTGTGTTGTGTAAATGCGTGCTCGTGTGCGCTCACACACCTGGAACTAGAGCTATCAGCCCTCAGGAATGTAGATATAAATCAGTCTCACAGGGAGTGGTGCGGGCTTGAATTCCTTCCCTGAATTATACCACACACACATACACACTGGGTGTACTGTATATACACACACAGTCGCATATGTACCCATATCGTACAAATATGTATATCTATGTGCTGTAACAACATAAATCCACATTCCAGCTCCTCCCTGGCATGTGAAGTAGGTTAACCGAAAATTCCTCTTCTCTACCATCTCCTTTTCTTTCTTTCTCTCCTCCAATCCTCGCCCCATCCTCCTCTTCTTTTCTCACTTTTCTTCCATTTTCAGTTGGAGCAGGAGATCCAGCGTATTTCTGAGGCCTATGAGACACTGATGCAGGGCAGCAGTAAGAGGGAAAACCTGGAGCAGACACTGAGGAAGAGGCTAGTGGCTGAGATCAGAAGGCTGCAGGACTTCAACAGAGACCTTAGAGGTATGGACTCCTACCACAAGACACACATAATATTCTACCATAATATCAGACCCAGAATTGACATTAAAATGTTTTTTTTTTTTTGCATTACAGAAAACTTGGAAAATGCCAGAACGCATGTTGCTAAAGAAGTAGAAGCGGCCGACCATAACCAGCACATCATGGCGAAACTCCTTGAACAAAGTAAGTTTGTCATGTTGCTCTCTGTTACATCCTCCTTTTCAATCAACAAGCCTGATTGGATTGGATTGGTGCAAAGCATGGGGCCCTTTTTGTAGCTAAGGGCATCCTGCATGCAGGAATTTCACTTGCAAAACCTCAGCTTATTTGGTTTTATTTTATTAAGAAGGCTTAATAATAGGGAATCCAATCCATGCACCTCTTTGCAAAAGGGAAACGAATGTGCTCTAAATGACAGAGCAGCAGTGGAAGTGGTAGAAATGAGCTTCCCCCACCTGTTGTTAGTGTGATTTATGTTGTCTGTTTAAGGAACTGGACTCAAGCAGAGTGCTGGTGTTTGTACGGCCTTGATGAGGAGGAATGCTCTGTGCTATGTGGGTCAAAGGGATAGGGCGGCTTTCTCCCCCTTTCTCCTGCTTCTTCCTCTCAGCATTCCAGGAGTGCTTCACTAAATGAGGAACACTGGCCACCGTGTAGCAACTCTGGTACTTATTACTGGAGTTGGACTCAGGAGGGAGAAATTGGAAATTGACACTTTTTTGGGGGGGAGGGGAGAAGAACCTCATGCAGATTTGTAATGATTTCATATTTGATCTCACAGTGTGTCTCTTAAGATCATGGAATTAACTTGACCACCTTTGCTTTTCAGATGAGGAGCAGAACTTTGAGAGGGAGCGGGTGGAGCGGGAGCTGCAGCGATTGCGAACCACTGCGGAGGAGCAGAGCGGCAGGGCGAAGCGGCTTGAGGAGGCCCTGGACGCCGCTCGTGGACGTGGTCGCCAGCTTGAGGAGGAGCTGAGGAGGAAGAGGGCTTATGTGGAGAAGGTGGAGAGACTTCAGAGTGCACTGGCTCAGCTACAGTCCACCTGTGAGAAGAGGGAGAGCCTGGAGATGAGGCTGAGGACACGACTAGAGCAGGAGCTGAGGAGTCTGAGGGCGCAACAGGTAAATATCCCATCTGAGGAAAACCATCAAACTGCTTGCTGCTACTCCAATAATTTTAGTATTTTTTGGCCCTGTGGTTAAAATCCTCTCCTCTCTCCACCTCAGAGGCAATCACAGCCTCCAGGAGTGACGATGAGCTCCCTCCAAGAGCGTCTGCGGGAGCGTGAGGAGCGAATCCTGGCCCTCGAAGCCGACATGGTGCGCTGGGAGCAGAAGTACCTGGAAGAGAGCACCATGAGGCAGTTTGCAATGGAAGTGGCTGCCACTGCCGCTGCACAGAGGTAAAGAATGCTTTTGCTTGACATTTGCTATGTGTTATTTATTTTTACACACACATATTTTGGAGCTTTTGAGTTAAGACCCAGTCTTTCCCTTTGCAGAGACACCACCATCATCAACCATTCGCCCTGCCACTCCTCTAACAACAGCTTCAATGAGGACCTGCCAGTTGCTGACTACAGGAATCAGGAGATGGAGAACAGGTGCATACTTATAATTAAACTCTCTTCTTTTCAAAGAGTCACCTTTACAAATCATGACATTTTTTTCCTATAGCTTATCTGCTTCCTGACATTTATTTTTGTTTCTTTTTTGCGTCAGGATCCGCGCTCTTTACGCTCAGATCTTGGAGAAGGATGCTGTGATCAAGATCCTCAACCAGCGGCTGCACCAGGACCAGGGCCGGAGGGACGAGCAAAGTCCACGTACAAACCTCCTGACTACGGCGGGGGCATCTCTCCGACCCGCCTCCTCCACCCCCTCTATCAGCACCACCACCAGCACCACAAAGAGTAGAGGTGAGGAGCATAATGTTGCCTTATTTAATAATTCATTTGAGTGGTACTAAGGCTACTTTACTTCTGACATTACACACCTTGTATATTCAGTTCAAATAAGCTGTTAAAAAGTATAAGATTTTCTGATGCTGACATTTTTTGTGTCTTTGTTGTCTTTTAGGTAAAAGTCTTTCAGATGATCAGACTTTGCCAAACCGTCAGTTCTCTGCTCAGTCTGAACCTGGAACGCTAGAACGGCAGGTGGAGGGAACCAAAGCCAAAGAGGCTGCCAGCACAACTAAGCTCAACAGTGGTGAGTGATCTATCAAATATGCATGAGTGTGTTTGTTTACGAGGGGCCAATAATCCAATAACGCTGCCAGTATAAAACTTGAGTGATAAATGATTTGCACACATGCATCACAGATCTCAGACTCCACGGCACAAAACACACACATATGCAGCGTTAAATGCAGCTTTTCTTGTTTTGGACCTCGACTTCATGCATGTTCACATTGATTAACCATGTTGCTGCTTAACGGGCCAATCAGATACCATCTGTCCAGGTCATGGTTCATAATGTGGGCCTAGAGGAATTTGCATGGTTAGGAAATAATGTGGATCTGTTGACTGAGCACATTTACCAGAGTGGTCTGTTTGACTGTGGAAAATCTCTGTTAACCTTTAGTCATTGATAGCTGAGCTATATATGAGACATTTTTCCACTGTTTTATCCTTAAAACATTTAAATTTATCCTCTCTTCTTTCTTTTTTTTCCCCAGACAAGACAGTGCCTAAGAAGTTGCTATTAAACCCCTTCAGAGGCCTGGAAGAGCTGGAGTCAGAGGCAGTGGAAATCTTCATTTAAAGAACTGAAAGGTGGATTTTGAATGAGAGGGGAAAAAAAAGCAATTCTGAGAATCTGTGAAGAGTGCAAGTCTTTGAATAGAGAATGGATTAAATATTGGATGAAAGAATGTCGTGGAAAGAGGCCAATGCACGGGGGAGGAAAAAAAAGACTGTTTTCACATTTTAGAGACAGAGCTGTGCTCCGGCTCATTTGCTCTCACTAAGCTTGGACAGCTGCAGGCAGTCTGCCCGACTGGGAGAGAAAGGATGAATCTTCTGAGGTACTCGGACAGTATTGTGGATTGTAATAGGGCAACATGTTCTCAGAGAGTGTATGCCAAAATATTTATATAAATATATCTATAATTGCTGCTCCCCCCCCCTTTATTACCCTCTTTAACTCCTATCAGAATCCAGTGAATTAAGAAGCTACATATTTATCTTATCTGGTTTCCACATTCCCCAAATGTTAACTTAAGCCTCATGCTCGTCTAGATAAATATTCAATACAAGGTTATCTATGTGACCTGCATTCCCCTCCTCTCCAAAAGAAAATGTGGTGTCAATCTGAGTAACCTCATTCCCATCATAGATCTTATCTGTTTGGAAGATGACATTCAATAATTTAAGCTTATCACATGAAACACTGCTGATTTAAATGCTCTCACTGTCCACGCTTCTTAAGTCCGAGCAGCTGGTTCTGCAGGAGCTGAGAGGTGTGTAAACTGTGAGATGCATCATATATAAAAGACAATTTGGTGTTTATTTTTTGCCAAACTGACACAAACCCTGGTGTTGTTTGTAATTTTGTGAGGGTGTTGCATCGTGGTGTTGATTTCATCATCTGTTGCTTTTTCTGATAACTTCTCAAAGTATGTTTGCGTGTGTGATTACAGTATGTGAGTGTGTTTCATGATGTGGTGATTCTGCTGGTTCGGTCACCACTGTGGGATAAAAGTTGAAAACTACACCGTGTTTGGTTTTTGTTTTGTTTACTGTGAGCTTTGAACTAACAAACAGGTTAATTATTATTATTATTATTATTATTATTTATATATTTTATACAGATGTTTGTATTGTTATTTTAGTTATAATAGTGCTTTGAGCAGGATGCCAAAGAGTTAATGTATGTTTGTTGTAAGTTATGTGCCGACAATCACGGTCATGTCAAGCTGTACACAACCAACCAAGTGTTGACTTCAAACGGACATTTCTGTGAACTTCAAACAATATGAAGGTTTTTACAGTTGAATTCATGCAACATTTCATAAAGCAATAAAATATTCTAATATACATTAACTGACTTGTGAATTGTGTCATTTAAAGTACTGTCTTTTTTTCTGTTTGCTCATATAAAGATTGTCTAATACACGCTCATAAGTTATTCTGGTAAATGCTGTGAATCTCCTCCTGTTTTACTCCCTCTTCTCTCTCCTATCGTCACCCTATCTCCTCGTTCCTGTCCTCTCGTTCCACCACAGAGAAGAGTGCTCTTCATTAATGAATACCAGAGCTGCATTCTTTTGGGTTCAACTTTCTCGGGTGGCCTGCTCTCTTGTTCTCTTCTTGCCATGAAGAGCGTGCTTGACATAGATCACATTCTCACAGGGACACGTAACCCTGTAAGTGACAAAGACAGGTTTTTCCCAGATTAGCCACTAATGCCATTTGAAATTCCGGCATGCCGCCGTCCACCTTTGCTAACATGTGCTGCATTCCCAAATGCTTTTATTACCTCCTTTTGACTCACACCCAGAGGTGTTTATGAAGCATTTCAGGACGTGCCATTGAATATGAAGATGAGAGAATGGAGCTCTCCATTCTGTTATGTGGTATCTGTTTCAGGACAGATCTGCCTCTCTCTCACACACGTGCATGAACACACACACACACACACACACACACAACAGAGCCACAGATATCGACTTGTACCAGTTTGGGGCGGTTGAGCAGCACTGACAATGAGACTTCACAATGCAGAAGGACAATGACAATGAACGATATAGGATATGGTCATGGTAGAGATGATTCCACACATTTGTAGGGATAAATGCAGAGTGGAGAGGAGCAACAAGTAGTGAGACTCTTTAGTCTGGAGGAGCTGGCTTAAATATCTGGTTTGGTTTGTTTGAATAAAAACAGGTCACACTTTTAAACTTCTTTTTAAATTATTTCTGTTTTGCTTTATTGACAATTTAATATATTAATACGATACAATTTATAAAGGGACTATAAATTGTAACTAATGGCTTTAGGTAAAACACTTCACTAGTGCCTAATACATCAATTACACACAAGTAGTTGTGAAAATCCACTTACCACTTGTTGCTAGAAAAAGGGCTGTAGATCATCTGGACCAAAATCAACTTATTAACAACTTATTTACACTTACAGCTTGATATTAAACCCCTTTATTAATGACATATTAACACGTATAATTTGAGACTTGACAACTTGACTTGACGACATATCAGCATTAAGAAGACCAAAATTTTGGTCTTCTTAATGCTGATACAATAAAGCATGAGTGCATTACTTATTAATCATTGATTAAGTCATAAATTACAACCTATAAACGCTTCATAAAGAGTACCTTATTGGAAAGTGGCATCAATACAACATATCAGACTTTGTCAACGGCAGAACAATAAAATTATGGACGTCTATCACTGTCTACGGTGTTTTCACAACTTTGCAGAGCTTCCTTTATGCTGGATTGTTCTTGGAGCTCCAGGCGTGATGCTCTGAACTATGTGGAGTGAGGAAATCAAACAGTGAATGTCTCTGGAAGTGCATCACACTGTCTTAGCGTCACTCCAGGTGAGACATAATAAAACATGGACTCAAACTGTCTTGTGCACATCCATGAAACCTCAGTGGGATTGAAGTTAAATATCAAAAAGTAACAAAAATACAATATAAAAGCACCTGCACACTGGAATTGAACTGCTGTACATTTTAATTAGCAATATTATGACCCAACACAAATCATTCTCAGACAAACAGACCTGTCAGAAAATCCTGTAAACTGTTGATCATTTATACTCACCACGTTTACTCTGTTGACGTTGGTTTATGCAGCTGACTGATTGTGTGCTGTATTTGATCCAAATGACCTGCCAGTAAGACATTTCTAAAAGGTTCTGATGGCTCCTGATTTAATGTAATTGAGTGGCATTGTGGGGATAATCTTTTAAAGTTATCTATTAACCTATGACCTCAAGAAAACTATTTATGATAAATTTTTTTGCTCCAGCTTTGAAACTGTTTGTTATTCACAACTGAGTGAGCAAAGGTAAAATGTATCCTGCTGTACTGGGGTTTGATAATTGGATGGGGAATATGTTAAAACACCGAAGCATGCCTGGACTTGGGCAGAGAGGATATGAGCTGATGAGATAGTACGGATGCTTGTATGGGAAAACACAGAGCAGGAACTGGTGGTATGCGTTGCCATCAATCTTATTTATGAACTGAGAGCTCTTATCTGGCGTACTGACTGACAACATTGTGAAGACTCGCCAACATTCCTCTGTGAATGTGAAAGGCAGCTGACATGTTTCGACTGCAGCTCTCTATTTTTCCCAGAATTGATATGATGAAGCAGGGTAGAACGTAAATGGGAGTCAGGGGTCAAATTCCATTGTGCTCAAACATCCAAGCAAATTACATTTTCAACACTTTTTTGGAACAGTTTTCGCCCTCTCTCTCTGGCGCAGTCACATGGGAACTCCATATTGACCGCAATCACCATGAAAGGAATGGGTTTGTTGCTGTGTAAACCGTGGAAATGATCTTCTCACACTGTGTGTTTGTGTGCGCTGCCGGGTTTATTGCCCTGTCCTCGTGTTTACAGTTTAACAGCACATTCCTACGAAGCATCAGCCTTTGAAGTTTCAGCACATTCAGCAAATATGCTGATGGTGAATGATGATATCAAAGTCGGAGTGTAAAAGAGGAGGTTTTTGGAATGCAGATTGTCTGCGACTCACATCTGTGTGGTTATTAATATGGACTTTACTCTATACAAGGCCAAACACTCATTAAGAAAGATAAACTGTAATTTTGACTTCTGCACTAATACACACAAATAATAGCTGCTGTGTACATATCACAAGCGTGTACACCCATGCAAACAAACACAAGGACACAAATGACTGTTGAGGCAGCAGTGTGATGAGAGATTAACTGACTCCTCAGATATATGCAGCACCTGATGAACAGACACATGGAATAACTTGCCGGCAAGCAAAGATCCTCAAAACACCGAGCGGAATGCAAGTAAATCCACAAAGCCCTATATCATTTCCCTTCATAAAACCCCAGCATGTTTTTGGACATCGGTAATACATGTGTCTTCTAACAAAAAGTAACTTGTCACCACCTGCTACACAAGCCTGCTGCAGAGGCTGCAGTTGTGAGTGACATTCCTGTATGTTCAGATGGCCATATGTTTAAAACCACAGAGATGACCCTGAGCCCATATTTCAGCCACACGTCCCTGCTGTGGCCTTAACTGAAAAGTAATTATTATAAGATGGTGTGCGGGTTTTAATATGGCCAGGATGTCTAATGATTTTTTTGTAAATAAAGCAGAGGTCCTAAAGGGTCCATTGTGCAACATTTAGGATGTTCTATTGGCAGAAATTGAATATAATATTAATGTGTTTTCATTAGTGTATAATAAACAGAAAATAGGAGTTATTATGTTTTTGTTACCTTAGAATGAGCCGTTTATATCAATAGCACATGTTGAACCACCATGTTTCTACAGTAGCCCAGAAGGGACAAACCAAACACTGGCTCTAGATAGGGGTTTTTTGGGGGGCACATTTCACGGCCACCATAATTTCTCCTTTCACTTCCCTTTCACTTGGAAAGGAGAGGGTGAAGCGAGAGAGCTGCAACTAAACCACTAAATGCCACTAAATCCTACACACTGGACCCTTAAAAGTTAAAAATCTATTTACTGGGTTGTTTAAAATTAGGCTAGATTTTTTTTTTTACTCTTAGCATGTAGGGTAATTTTGCATTATGGGTCTCTTAAGTTGTTTATCTGTTGAAAATCATCTACATAGAAACATTTAAGAAATTTAATTACTGGACATATACAATGCACAATGTGTCAATACATGGGCATGTGTTTCACTCCTGACAAGTGGCCCTGTAGACATTAAATAGTTAAAAGACAGAATTCAGTGACTCGACCTCGTCCTGAGGATTATTTACACTTACAGGTCCTCAGAGACTCACAAAACATGAGGCATGCACTGTAGCTACAGTATGTGCTCCACCCCCCTGGAAAACATGTGTTCTTTGACTTGGGGGATTAGATCTGTTAACTGCTTTACAAAGGTACACACACACACACACACACAAGCACACACACACACACACACACACACTATGTATGACTGAGGAACTCAACTTGACAACAGAGTAGGAAGCTTTAGGTTACAACTGCTCCTGGTGTTAGGTGATACCCAGATAACTTAAAGAGCAGAGCAGCCAGTGCAGTGTTTAGACATTTGACCCCCACCGTATTAGGATACAGTACTTTATTAGATATGATATAGATGATGTAATTACAATGCACTTTTGCAATCTCTCGCTATCTTAATCTCATTGGGACTTCCCTGATTGAATAAAGCCTTCCATACATGCATCCAGAGTCCAGATTGCATAACCTGAGAGAAAGGGTAATATAACAAAAACACACAATTAAAAAACCCTATCAGCTATCTAAATGTTTGACTTCCTCACTATTTTGAAAACCTCATGATACATGGACTTTTAAAGCCGAGCAGCGCCACCTGCTGGACACTTTGGAGACTTGCTGCACATATGTAACGTACACATCTGCATTTTGCCAGTATCAGTGTATTTTTACTTTATTATTGGACTAAACTCTGGTTGGTTTCTTACATTTTATAGTCAATAAATAACTATATTTAGGTGTTCTAGTATCGCCAATGGTCGAAACTGCAATTCAGAAACGTACTTTGAACCTAACGTTACATATAAAGGAATAAAATAAAACAAAAACAGTGCAAATGGTTTAATGCATGTCCCAAAAAACAAAAATAATATTATTATATATCATGACACAAATGTCATATTTCTAAAAAGATGCACTAACGTTAGATGCCTTCATAGCGGTCTTTAATTATCGCGATGTAACTAGGCAACCGTCACCTTGGGTGGGCTGGATTTATAGACAGTAGCAACATCATTGACTCACAACAGAGTGAAGCTACACTGGCCGGTGTACGCCTGACAACAAACCGTGCGTACCCGCCCGTAGCACCCCGCCCATTCAGCTAGCACCGCTACCGTAGCAACATAAGCTAACAGCTAGCTTACATCAGTTTAGGGCTGTGTTGAGGTTGGAATATTATTCAACCTGTCCGCGGTTTATTCTTTATAAACATTAAAAACGCGGCCTGGCCATTTACAGAGCTGGAGGGAACTCAAATCCAGGATGTGCTCGGTGGTCGGATGTTATTCGGGGCGTCGCAGTGCGCAACGGTTCAAGTTACCGGAGGACCCCGAGAGGAGACTGGAGTGGGTCCAGTTTCTCGCTACAGTCAATAAACAGCGTTTTAAAGAATCGTCCTGGACAGACATTACAATTTGTAGCGAACACTTTGAAAATGACTGTTTTGAGAACCTGACTGACGGTCATCCAGGCAGCGTCCAGCTAACGTTAAAGCTCAGTGCTGTCCCATCACTGTCAGACGACCCGGAGCCACATATGGAGAGCCCAGGATGTGTGGTGAGTCTAAACATAGGCTTTAACGAGGCATCCCCCAATGCTGCATCCTTCCTATGACATTATATATCCCGGTGAATGCTTTAGGGAGGGTCTGCAGGTGGTTGGATGGAGCCAGTGGTGTAGTGGTGCCTGGAGAAATGGATGTACTCTTAATTTCTGCCCCACATTTGATTTTAGAGCAGCCCACCCAGCAAAGGACAGTGGCATGTAAGACTTCTCTTTACTTAGCAACAAATGTCCTATTCTAACTATTATTCAGTGCTCCATCTGCTCATGAAAATTGGACAAGTGTGTCATGCGTTCGCCTTGGGATTTAGAAGTACCCAATGCTGAGGGAAAAATAAGTGGGTGTAATGGACCACCTGTCCATTAGTTCAATTCAAATGGCTTAACACAAACTTTATCATCATAATAAACAATAACAATACAAAACATAAGCAGTACAAACAATAAAAAGATTTGCTGTGCATTATTGTAAGTTGTTTTTAATTTCAAATTGTTACAAATTACATCTTATTTTTTCTGCCCAGCAAAATACGAATGACAACATACTCAACAGTAATTTAATACATTAAATACAGTTAATTGAAATACAACCTATCTCTGCTTGTACAGCACTGACGTGTGTAATATCCCATTATTGACTTGATGTATACACCACATGGTCCCACAGTGATTTTGTGTTATCCCATATTTACATGCTAATGTAGCCATTTACTATCCAGTTGAAGACACATTGTGCAGTTAGTGCACACACAAAGTGTGTGTGTGTGTGTGTGTGTGTGTGTGTGCATATACATACTGTATATATACTCAAAAACACATGATACTGTAACATTTGTAACATTGTCTGGACCAGTGTGCAAACTATGCACAAGCTCACTTTCTTTTGCGGCACACACGGTGACTGGCTGTGACTTATCCTGACTACAGTAAAGAGAAATGGATGATGGTAATTTGGTGTGCAGACAGTTTTTTTTCTTCTTATCTCTGAGTTATAATGAGTGAAGTTCATGATATTGCACCGCCATGCTTCGATGGTGATTCAAGTTGGAATGTATCGTACATCAATAATAGCCTAAATTTATGAGTGATCCATGACGATAAAGAAACAGAAATGGATGGCAAAATAGGACATTTTCTGATATATTGTATGTTAACAACAAGCTTGTACTTCTTTTATTTCTTTGTGTAGGAGCCTGTGGAAACCACATTAGTTTATGGTCAACTAAAAACATGTGATGGCCCAATGTCCTATTGTGAAGAATCAAGACTGGCTTCAATGGGTAAAGAAAATGTCTGTGTTTTGAATTGTGAAAATTATGTAAATTCGATAATTTTCTCACATATACAATAAACTTAAACTTCCTTGCAGATTCTGAAGGAAACCCAGTCCTAAGAGGCGTCTCATGTTCAACTGATACTTCAGATGGTGTCGCGTCCGTATACGGCCAGATGCATCCAAGAAATGTGAATACTGATTTGATCAGGGAAAAGTACGTTTTCTTTCAATTCGTGCTTTGTCTACTTTTTTACATCAGGTTGGTGTTTTAATATTATTCCTTTAAATTGGTCTTTAGAGCTGCACTTCTACAGAGGAAAGGGAAGTATGTTGTGAACGAAAAACGCCTCCTCCAGTTGTTTAGCTGCAAGTGTCCGTCATGTGGCTGTAAACTTAAGATGGAGAAGTTCACCTATGGGGTGCTCATCATCTTGAACCAACAGTGCCTTCAGTGTGAGTACAGGAACCAGTGGAAAAGCCAAGTCAACGCCAGCGTCCCAGATCAACACCCGAGAGGAGGCATAGATGTAACTCCAGAGACCCGGCAGGTAGGACTTAATACAACATATTCAGATACGCTGATTGTAGGTTAAGAATTGTGCATCCAAGAAAATGTCTGTAAGAAAACCATAGAAAAACAAACTACACTGGTCGATATTGTTTGTCATATTTCAAATTTTTATCTCTATCAATCTTTGTCATTGTATCACAGGAAGTGCCAACAGATGACACCTATAGCCGTGTAACAGGGGTCTCTGAGATTGTTGCTGTTGTTGGTGAGGACAATGATCCCTTGGAAGAAATGGAGGAATCGAGTGATCCGGATGACATGGATTCAGACGAAGATTGGAAGCCAATGAAGAATATTTTGCTGCCTAGAGTGCTTCAAAAGGAAACAGATGGCAAAGGCGCGAAAGAGGATGGCGCTTATCCCCCACTTCCCACCAAACACAGTCAGCTCTGCACAGATTGTGGGATGTTTTTCAATAAACAGAAGCCTCACACGTGTGAACATATAATTAAACCCTTTTCTTGCAATTTCTGTGGTAAGAGATGTGTTAGTGAGGTCGCTCTAACCTCTCACAGCAGAATCCACGATGAAAACTATGAGCACCCGTGCAAATACTGCCAGAGTACGTTCAAAACCAAGGTGGACAAACACACACATGAGCAGATTCATCTAAGTGAAGGAAAGCCCTATAAATGTCCCGACTGTCCAGAGACGTTCGCCACAAATAAAGAACGCAGAATCCACCTGGAGGATCACAGAGGCCCCCAACAGTTAAAATGTGAAATCTGTGGCATCGAATTCCTCTGGCCACTTTCTCTCCAGAGACACTTAACCGTGCACACAGGAATGAAGCCGTTCAAGTGCTCAGTGTGCCAACGTGGCTTCAAACAGGCAAGCCACCTGAAGTCCCACATGCGTCTGCACACCGGAGAGAGGCCTTACAAGTGTCAGCATTGTGACAAATGCTTCAATCACAACGTGAGCTTGAAGAGTCACGTACAGCGTTACCACTCGTCCAATTCTGGACGTGAACAGAAAACAGAAAAAAGAAATGAAGAGGAAAGTGACACTGCTGATGCGGAGGGTAACGGGAACAAGAGAGGTGTAGATTCAGGGCTTGATAATGTAGAGGAAGAACAGGATATGGAAGAGGAGGAACAGAAGGAGAGAATATATAGACCAAAAAAAAGAAAGAAAACCACAGGTCGACCCATAGGAAGGCCAAAGAGTTATGAATCAGACAACGTAGCTCTGGACGTTCAGGTGGAAGGTCAGTGTTCAAACAGAAAGACTGAAAAACGACAGGCGCAGAAGGTAAAGAAAACACAGCGCAGTGAAGAATTTAGTGAGGACCAGCCGAGTGACAGCGACATGTCCTTTGATTCAGTGGAGGAGGAGGAAGAGGAGACGAGCGAGAAGATGATAAAGAACACAGCGAGATCAAGGAACAGATCAAAAACTTCCAATAGTGACTCAGACTTTGACCCAGAAGAAAGAAAGGAAAAGAGGAGCAGCAGCCAGAACAGTGGTAGAAGTTCAGGGAGGCGCAGAGGAAGACCCAGAAAAAATCTAGTGGTGTGAAGATTCTTAAAGAATTCGGTTTAAATAATATATAAAGTAGACATTTATACAGAACTGGACAAAACATGCACACCTAGGCCAGAGTCTGGGTTAAACTTCTTTACCTTTTACTGTGAAGAGAAGCTGTTGGTTGGATTTGAAAGTACTTTTGAAATGTGTTACCTGATGTTTAAAGTATGAGATCATATTGGATAAAAGTATATTAAACAGGGCTGATCTTCCTTTCTGTTGTCCGAAACTTTATTCTTCATCATACTGTTATGTGCAATAATGACTGATCTGTAAACTGTCTGACAGCCACACACTCTGCTGAGAGGAGAGGTTCATTTATTTCTTTTAAGATGGTTAGTGTGTGTGTACATTTTAACATTTTTGTGGCAACAGGGTTGAAAAAATAGATCCAGCTGCTTTTGTAGTTCAGTGACAGCTAGATAATGACAAGAGTAATGAAGCCATGGTCTCCATAGTGATTGTATATTGCTTAAAGCTTAAAGAGTTACTTAATTACATTTTTAAAGCGTATTTTCTCTCTCTCCTGTGACTACCATGCACATAGTTTTGATGTAATCCACTTGTTTAGGTATATGTCTGATGTCTGTCCAGTACAGTAGAGGTGAAGTCAATTTGGTTTGTAGTGTTTATATAGAAATAAATTACATTTTAATCAATTAATATAATTAAACAGCAATATATATTTTTAACAGTGTCCCTCTGTCCGGGATAATCAACATACCTAATTATGAACGGTTTTCATTTTACCTGATGAGTTCCCAGATAAAAGTAGTTTAGTAGCTGTCAGCTGCCTTTCATTGGAAAAATCATCTTTCATGGACCTCATTAACCTACATATAGTTATTAGTTTTCTTACAATATTTTTGCAGGATATTCCTAATTTCCTCACAGACCCCAACCAAAACCCCACCCATTCAACCTCCAAAACTGCCGCCACTGCCGGCTGACACAGAAATAGCCAGCTGTTAGTTTATCTGTGTTTTGGATGTTGGGATAGTAGTTGACACCAGGGTCTATCCTCCAGTCTGGTACTTAAACCTAGAGTAGGTAATGTATTTCAGAAGCATTTAGGTTATACTTATATAAAAAGAGAAAACAATCCCTGCTCAAATGTAGCAACCACAGGCCTTTAATGAGCTCAGCCAATAAGAAATAAGGTAAAATGACATGCAGTTACACTCTTGTACAATAGGTGGCGTTATCGGCACATTTAACGTTGCTTTGCTAAGAAGAAGAAGAAAAAGCCTATGAACATGAAAGGCACACTATGCAAGATTTTTACCTCAATATAACAGCTTCGAAGTCATTTCGATGTAAACGACCTGGTAGTATGGCGAATCATCCCGACAGCCATTGACAGAACCAGCAACGCAAGTCTGAAAGGTGGCGTCCCGCCAAATCTCGCGAGAATCACGGATTGCTTTACGGCGCGACGTCACATACATCAGCGACATAAGAAGCAGCCTCAATGGAAGACACTAGCAGGCTTTCACTCAGACGTGAATCATGGCAGATTCGGCGAAGAAACCGAAGAAAGCGCGGTCGGAAGAGTCAAGGAAGAGGAAACGAGAAACGGACAGCGAGAGGAACCGGACCAGAGTCCCACTCGGTCAGGCTTTCTCTCGTTGGCGAGAGTTAAAGAGCAGCACAGGATGTAACAGCGATGCTCACCTCGCGTTCTTGTTGATGGACTAGTGAGTAAATCCAAAACTTACTTACTTTCTATGTGGTATGTTGTTGCGCTTGTTTGTTGTATGTCAGTTCATTTACGAAGTTGTTTATTCATCCATTGTTGTTGATAATAATAATAATAATAATAATAATAATAATAATAATAATAATATTACCAGTTAACTAATGTCCAATGTCTAGTTAGTTAGAGTAGCGCAGCTGTTTGCAGACTTCCTAGTAAACACTCGCCTCCCTTCCCTGTGTTTGCGTCCTTCTATTGGCCAGCTGAACTCAGGTGTTGTGAGGTGTATTTATCACGTAGTCCTTATCTGGTTCCGATTTCGTATGGCGTGTGAACTGTGATTATCGTAATACTTCAAATAAAAGCCCGGGCTATTATTTGAAGTTTTACGGTATGCAAACTTTAGCTGGCTAACAGTGAACTCTCGACTGTACCTTTTACTTGAAATTGTGCTTTTTACGAGTCAATTACATCTGACCGAATTACAGAACCCAGGAATCATACCTAGTTTCACCCTGATCACCCTTGTTCACCACTACTCCTGTTGCAGAGAACATGCTGATCTTGCTCTTTTGTTCCAGTTACCAGCATCAGAAAGTGACGTCTACACCCAGCAAGGGTCACAAAGGACCACCAAAGCCACTGGTGTCCAGTATACAGGAGTCAGACCGTGATCGGTGTGTTTTTCTGCTCTATCCTAATAATCCAGGTTCTCTGGACATAGCACATTGTAAACTAACCAGTTTATCTTTTCAATTAGGGATGAAGATTTCCCTGTACCTGATGTCCAGCCATTCATCACAGAGACAGAAGAGGTTGATGTTTTGGAATCCAGGTGAGATTGCTTTCCCTCTGACATTGTGATCTGGTGTCTTTCATTGGAACACAAACGTGTGTGTGTGTGTGTGTGTGTGTGTGTGTGTGTGTGTGTGTGTGTGTGTGTGTGTGTGCATATATATATACATCAACTCTGATGTTATGAATTAATGCGACGTAGGCTAGCCTGCTTTATTGGTGTCATCTGGCATTTTGTAATGTTTACGTTACACTCAAACACAATAAATGAAATTTTACAGTAGGCCTATAGGCTATTTTCTTGTAATTTAGCTGCAATCATGTAAACAATTTAAGCCATCAAACGCGGTAAGCCACTTTATTATTATAGTATAAGTAGCCTAGACGAATGCTTGACATTATTATTATTATTATTATTATTATTTGTATTAGGCTACCATCACCAGTATTCCATCTTCGATAGCACAACATATACAATTATGCAGTAGCCTAATATTTTTATGAAATCGTTAAACATTACCTGGTCAGTAGACATCTTCGGAGTCTATCTTTGCCTGTTCGATGTCTGACGCTTCCATCCTACTGAACATGTACCGGTATACAGGGGGGGGGCGGGATCAGGCCGTGAGTGCAGAGACGCAGAGCCGTATATAGAGAGACGGCTCTGGTGAGTGTTTTTTACAACAGTAACGTTAAATACAAGTACACCGCAGTGACTCTAGGGGTAGCTGTTTGACAAAACCGGAAACTGCATAGTGTGCCTTGAACATGAACAAGCTAGCGCGCTGCTGAGCTGTAATAGTAGTGTCAAAGGAAAGGGAGACATGGCCGAAACCCAGCCAAAGAGGAGGACAAAGTCGGAAGAACAAAACTTGAAAAATAAGTTTTATGAACAGGAAAGGTCTAAGAGCCGCATAAACATCGGTAAGGCTTTCCAACGGTGGAGAGCCTTTGGAGCCGAGTGCACCAGCTGTGCGTACGCCTGAGTGTAACATTACATCCGACCTATTAATGTTCAATATGTCTACAACTCTGACATGGCCATTGTGGACCTCGTTGCGAGATGGCCTGGGTCAGTCCATGATGTTTGCATTCTCAGACAGTGGACTTTATTTGGAGTTTGAGGCAGGGAAAGTGGATGGTCTTCTCCTCGGAGACAGTGGATACACTCTGAAGCATTGGCTAGGACACCTGTTATAGCAGTGACGCCCGCACAAGAGTACAACTGCGCCTGAAAGCATGCAACAAGGAGGAACACTGTTGAACGCTGCACTGGAATCCGCAAACGCAGGTTAGTAAAATACAATATGACTAGAATATGCAGTGTGTAATCTATATAATGATGTAGTACATCATTTTTTGTCCTTATCTATATCTACAGTCAAGCCCTTTGAGATATGCTTGTGATAACGGACACTATAAATATAAATAGATAAAGGCCTATATTTTGAAATGATATTGACTGGCTTATTTCTGTTGCTTGTTAGGCGTCACTACCTCCACAGTGAATGAGTCCTGAACGTCTCTGTGTCATTGCTGCCACTGCGGTGCTGCACATCTGTCAATCAAAAGAGATTCTCCCTTCTGAGGCGAGGAGAAATGGAGCTGGAGGCAGATGAGAAGCCCTTTGGTCCTGTCATCCCTGAATAGATCATAAACCACTTATAGGACCTGGAAAATGTTTTTTATTGTAACAGAAGTTGGAAATGAACAAATGACCACTATCAGTAAAATGTACAATGAACCCTCATAATCTAACATTGCTGTTTTAAATTTTATTCTCATGTTTTTGCATTTAATAAATTTTTTTTTTATTTATTTTTTTTTATATTAAATAATATATTATAATTAATTATTTTTTTTTTTTGTGCCTTCCTGTACTGGTAAATCAATATAAAATAGGCCTAATGTATAAAGAAATACTCAACAAAAACAACAGTAAAACCAATCTTCTACAATTGGTTCTGAATGAATGAATTCACCTAATCATTGCTTCACGTGTATTCACATGGATGTGCTTCATAAGACCGTGGTCAGTCAGGCCTGATGCAATCTGTAAAGTCGAATCACAATGTCGGACATAAGAGTGAAGACCTGTTTCTTTACGGCCAGCTGGTGCACTCTGCTCCTCGAGGAGCAGTAAAGGAAAGGTGTATTTGTTTGGCTGTTGAGTTCAAATGTCAACACATATCAACAATCTTTCTCCAGAATGACTGACTACACCTTGAAATCCAGGATGTGCTCCGTCTTCGATTGTGATTCGTGGCGTCGCAAGGTGCAACGGTTCAAGTTACCACAGGATCCCGAGAGGAGACTGGAGTGGGTCCAGTTCCTGTTCGATGTCAACGGACAGCGCCTCAAAGAATCGTCCTGGACTGATATCACCATCTGCTGTGAACACTTCACTGCTGACTGCTTTGTACAGCAGACTCCGGAGACGGCCACAGTCCAGCTGAAGTCCAGTGCTGTCCCGTCACTGTGTATCAAATCAGAGCCGGATGAATCTGAGCCTCCTCAGGTGAGACTAAAATATGTGGGGGATTTTGCTTGAAGAGCTCAAACCTCCGGCTCTTAGTGCACAGAAAGACACTGAAGTTACACACTCCCACCGACACAGCAGATCAAAACAATGCTACAGACTGTTGACAACATATTTCCTGAGAGGTTTGTTTGTTTTGATACACAAACCTGTATGAGTGGGCGGAGTTCACACACACTTTGACTAGCAAACTACTTAAAATGGGTATCCATTTCATAATGAATTAATACTTAATTTAGATTACTCCTAAAAGAAAAATTGTCCGGAGCCACAGTACAAGTGTAATTGTTAAGTACAGCAGATGTGCCCAAAACATTGTGTGTTTTTTGCTAAACAAGTTGGTGTGTTTAAGTAGTTAGGATTGTATTACTTTATTACTTTACATCATAAAGTGACACACTTACAAACCAGGGTTTGGTAAAAGTTTAAACAGATAAATAAGCAGGTATGTTAGGTGTTCATGCTGGAGGTATTTCCATATTTCTTTACTACAAATACAACAATTACTCTGGGGATCCAGCAGATAATAGACATACTCCACCATGTGCTACCTTAAGAGTTCAGTCTCTTTTTAATGTAATTGTGAATCCAAGAAGACTATATATAGTCTACACACTGCCCAATGTTTTGACCTCTTAACTTATTATATAAATATTGTTAAATTATTTATTATTTATTTATTTTATTTTTTTGTACTAATTTTATTAAATAAATAGGTGAAATGATTAGTTGATTTTCATCAACTCTTCATCATAAATCATTGTAAACTTAATATCTTTAAATTATGTACTCCGACAAAATAAGACATTTCAACGTTCACCTTGGACTCTTGGCATTTTTTTTATTATTTATTGTTTAGTAAACTGAATGATTAATCAAACGGTAGAAATATCAGCAGATTGTTTTTATAATGAAAATGATTTTTAAAAAAGCCCTATAAATTGGTTCATTAATATAATAAATCCTAATGTGTATGTTCCATTTTACCCATAGCACTTCTTGTTCTTGTGTCTTTCACAGACAGTGTCAGCAGATGAAGATCACAGCACTACCACCGGGGTCGCTGATATCAAAGAGGAGAGCGAACCCACGGATGAAACGGAGGAATCGGGCGACGAAAGTGAAATAGATTCAGATGAAGATTGGAAGCCAGTGAATGAGCGTTTACTGAATAAAAAGCTTCATAATGATGAATCTGATGAAGAAAGCGAAGGTGACAGTGATAATAATCCTCCGCTGCCCCCCAAACACAGTCAGCTCTGCACAGATTGTGGGATGTTTTTCAATAAACAGAAGCCTCACACGTGTGAACATATAATTAAACCCTTTTCCTGCAATATTTGTGGGAAGAGATGTGTTAGTGAGGTCGCTCTAACATCTCACAGCAGAATCCACGATGCAAACTATGAGCACACATGCAAATACTGCCACGTTACATTCAAAACCAAGGTGGACAAACGCACACATGAGCAGATTCATCTGTGTGAAGGAAAGCCATATAAATGTCCCGACTGTCCAGAGACGTTCGCCACATACAAGGAATGCAGAATCCACCTGGAGGATCACAGAGGCCCCCGAAAGTTAAAGTGTGACTTCTGTGGGGTTGAATTTGTCACACCACTTTCTCTCCAGAGACACTTAACCGTGCACACAGGAATGAAGCCGTTCAAGTGCTCAGTGTGCCAACGTGGCTTCAAACAGGCAAGCCACCTGAAGTCCCACATGCGTCTGCACACCGGAGAGAGGCCTTACAAGTGTCAGCATTGTGACAAATGCTTCAATCACAACGTGAGCTTGAAGAGTCACGTACAGCGTTACCACTCGTCCAATTCTGGACGTGAACAGAAAACAGAAACGATAAATCAGAGGGAAAGTGACGCTGCTGATGCTGAGAGTAACGGGAACAAGAGAGGTGTAGATTCAGGGCTTGATAATGCAGAGGAAGAACAGGAAATGGAAGAGGAGGAACAGAAGGAGAAGAAAAATAAGAGAAGCACAGGTCGACCCATAGGAAGGCCGAAGCGCTATGAATCAGACAACGTAGCTCTGGACGTTCAGGTGGAAGGTCAGTGTTCAAACAGAAGGACTGAAAAACGACAGGCGCAGAAGGTAAAGAAAACACAGCGCGGTGATGAATTTAGTGAGGACCAGCCGAGTGACAGCGACATGTCCTTTGATTCAGTGGAGGAGGAGGAAGAGGAGACGAGCAAGAAGATGATAAAGAACACAGCGAGATCAAGGAACAGATCAAAAACTTCCAATAGTGACTCAGACTTTGACCAAGAAGAAAGAAAGGAAAAGAGGAGCCAGAACAGTGGTAGAAGTTCAGGGAGGCGCAGAGGAAGACCCAGAAAAAATCTAGTGGTGTGAAGATTCTTAAAGAATTCGGTTTAAATAATAAAGTAGACATTTATACAGAACTGGACTGAGTTCTGAGAAAAATTAAATAATGTGACCAAACATTGGCTTTTACTGTGAAGAGAAGCTGTTGGTTGGATTTGAAAGTACTTTTGAAATGTGTTACCTGATGTTTAAAGTATGAGATCATATTGGATAAAAGTATATTAAACAGGGCTGATCTTCCTTTCTGTTGTCCGAAACTTTATTCTTCATCATACTGCTATGTGCAATAATGACTGATCTGTAAACTGTCTGACAGTCACACACTCTGCTGAGAGGAGAGGTATCCTCCAATCTGGTACTTAAACCTAGAGTAGGTAATGTATTTCAGAAGCATTTATGTTATACTTATATAAAAAGAGAAAACAATCCCTGCTTATACAGTGGGTACGGAAAGTATTCAGACCCCTTTTAAATTTTTCACTCTTTGTTTCATTGCAGCCGTTTGCTAAAATCAAAAAAGTTCATTTTATTTCTCATTAATGTACACTCAGCACCCCATCTTGACAGGAAAAAACAGAAATGTAGAAATTTTTGCAAATTTATTAAAAAAGAAAAACTGAAATATCACATGGTCATAAGTATTCAGACCCTTTGCTGTGACACTCATATTTAACTCACATGCTGTCCATTTCTTCTGATCCTCCTTGAGATGGTCCTGCTCCTTCATTGGAGTCTAGCTGTGTTTAATTAAACTGATTGGACTTGATTAGGAAAGGCACACACCTGTCTATATAAGACCTTACAGCTCACAGTGCATGTCAGAGCAAATGAGAATCATGAGGTCGAAGGAACTGCCCAAGGAGCTCAGAGACAGAATTGTGGCAAGGCACAGATCTGGCCAAGGTTACAAAAGAATTTCTGCAGCACTCAAGATTCGTAAGAGCACAGTGGCCTCCATAATCTTTAAATGGAAGAAGTTTGGGACAACCAGAACTCTTCCTAGACCTGGCCGTCCAGCCAAACTGAGCAATCATGGGAGATGAGCCTTGGTGAGAGAGGTAAAGAAGAACCCAAAGATCACTGTGGCTGAGCTCCAGAGATGCAGTAGGGAGATGGGAGAAAGTTCTACAAAGTCAACTATCACTGCAGCCCTGCACCAGTCGGGGCTTTATGGCAGAGTGGCCCGACAGAAGCCTCTCCTCAGTGCAAGACATATGAAAGCCCGCATAGAGTTTGCCAAAAAACACTTGAAGGACTCCCAGACTATGAGAAAAAGATTCTCTGGTCTGATGAGACCAAGATTGAACTTTTTGGCGTTAATTCTAAGCGGTATGTGTGGAGAAAACCAGGCACTGCTCATCAACTGCCCAATACAATCCCAACAGTGAAACATGGTGGTGGCAGCATCAGGCTATGGGGATGTTTTTCAGTTGCAGGGACAGGACGACTGGTTGCAATTGAAGGAAAGATGAATGCGGTCAAGTACAGAGATATCCTGGAAGAAAACCTCTTCCAGAGTGCTCAGGACCTCAGACTGGGCCGAAGGTTCACCTTCCAACAAGACAATAACCCTAAGCACACAGCTAAAATAACAAAGGAGTGGCTTCGGAACAACTGTGACCATTCTTGACTGGCCCAGCCAGAGCCCTGACCTAAACCCAATTGAGCATCTCTGGAGAGATCTGAAAATGGCTTTCCACCAACGTTCACCTTCCAACCTGACAGAACTGGAGAGGATCTGCAAGGAAGAATGGCAGAGGATCCCCAAATCCAGGTGTGAAAAACTTGTTGCATCATTCCCAAGAAGACTCATGGCTGTAGTAGCTCAAAAGGGTGCTTCTACTCAATTCTGAGCAAAGGGTCTGAATACTTATGACCATGTGATATTTCAGTTTTTCTTTTTTAATAAATTTGCAAAAATTTCTACATTTCTGTTTTTTTTTCTGTCAAGATGGGGTGCTGAGTGTACATTAATGAGAAATATAATGAACTTTTTTGATTTTAGCAAATGGCTGCAATGAAACAAAGTGAAAAATTTAAAGGGGTCTGAATACTTTCCGTACCCACTCTATGTAGCAACCACAGGCCTTTAATGAGCTCAGCCAATAAGAAATAAGGTAAAATGACATGCAGTTACACTCTTGTACAATAGGTGGCGGTATCGGCACATTGAACGTTGCTTTGCTAAGAAGAAGAAAAAGCCTAAGAAAAATGAACATGAACATGAACAAGCTAGCGCGCTGCTGAGCTGTAATAGTGTCAAAAGAAAGGGAGACATGGCCGAAACCCAGCCAAAGAGGAGGAGAAAGTCGGAAGAACAAAACTTGAAAAAGAAGTTTTATGAACAGGAAAGGTCTAAGAGCCGCGTTAACATCGGTAAGGCTTTCCAACGGTGGAGAGACCTCCGAAAGTTGAAAGGCATGAAGACGGATGCGGAGGTTGCTCTGTTTCTGCTCGATAGGTGGGTAACAACATCGGTGTATGTCTCACTGAAACAGCAAGTCAGTGTTATATAACAGATATATATATATATATGTTATATTCTGCTGTGCTTCGGTCTCTGTCGTGGTGTGTGTCTCTACAACGTTAGTGAAGGGTTGTACAACCACGATGACCTGAAAACACACGTTTGTTTTAGATTATTTGTGCTGATGGATCAATAGAAAGGTTATGATCGGTAACGTTACTTTATTTGTTAGCTTACCTTCCAACCTAACTTACTGTCCTTACTGTAGTTCTATAAAACCAATCTCAGATTTTACTGTGTTGTGTTTGGGATGCTGTTTGTGTGCTTGTATGTCGTTTGTTTGATGATGTTTCCTATTATAATCAGTGGTGTAGTGATGCCTGAAGAAGTGGATATACTCTTTAACTCGCTCCAAATGTTTATTCTTTAAAGCTGTCCGCCCAGCAGAGGATGAATGCCCTACTCTTTACCCTTGCATATTTAGTTCACACTAAAATGGGACAGTATTTGCATATTGTCACTCAACTTCTGCTGCTTGACTTCAGGCAGTATGGATCAATATGAAGGTAACATTAGCCACAGAAGAGGTGCAGATTTTGCATTCAGTACTGGCCTCAGGTAACTGTGAGCTACATACAATTATGCATTGTTAGTATACAAGTGTTCCTTACTTCATCAACTAAAGAAAACTGAACAACTACTGTATTTCATGTCTACACCATCCTAGAAAAAGAAATCAGCCTGAAGTATGTGCATCAGAGAGAAGTGGGTATATCCAATGTTGACCTGAAAATAAGTGGGTATATACCTGTGTATATGCTGGACTACACCACTGATTATTATGATTGTTTTGCTTTGGCTATGAGAAAAGAGACATCTTCTTTCTCCTGCTGTTGTTAGTGTCATTGGCTTGGCAATTCACATCCTTAAATTTGGAGGGGGGGCAGAGCCTTTGGAGCCGAGTGCACCAGCTGTGCGTACGCCTGAGTGTAACATTACATCCGACCTATTAATGTTCAATATGTCTACAACTCTGACATGGCCATTGTGGACCTCGTTGCGAGATGGCCTGGGTCAGTCCATGATGTTTGCATTCTCAGACAGTGGACTTTATTGGGAGTTTGAGGCAGGGAAAGTGGATGGTCTTCTCCTCGGAGACAGTGGATACACTCTGAAGCATTGGCTAGGACACCTGTTATAGCAGTGACGCCCGCACAAGAGTACAACTGCGCCTGAAAGCATGCAACAAGGAGGAACACTGTTGAACGCTGCACTGGAAGGAGCTGGAGGCAGATGAGAAGCCCTTTGGTCCTGTCATCTCTGAATAGACCATAAACCACTTATAGGACCTGGAAAATGTTTTTTATTGTAACAGAAGTTGGAAATGAATAAATGACCACTATCAGTAAAATGTACAATGAACCCTCATAATCTAACATTGCTGTTTTAAATTTTATTCTCATGTTTTTGCATTTAATAAAGTCATCTTTTAATTAGTTAATTGTTGTGATGCTGAATAATATATCATATATAAATATGTTTTATGTTTGTGCCTTCATGTACTGGTAAATCAATATAAAATAGGCCTAATGTATAAATACATAATATAAAAATAATCAACAAAAACAACAGTAAAACCAATCTTCTACAATTGGTTCTGAATGAATGAATTCACCTAATCATTGCTTCACGTGTATTCACATGGATGTGCTTCATAAGACCGTGGTCAGTCAGGCCTGATGCAATCTGTAAAGTCGAATCACAATGTCGGACATAAGAGTGAAGACCTGTTTCTTTACGGCCAGCTGGTGCACTCTGCTCCTCAAGGAGCAGTAAAGGAAAGGTGTATTTGTTTGGCTGTTGAGTTCAAATGTCAACACATCTCAACAATCTTTCTCCAGAATGACTGACTACACCTTGAAATCCAGGATGTGCTCCGTCTTCGAATGTGATTCGTGGCGTCGCAAGGTGCAACGGTTCAAGTTACCACAGGATCCCGAGAGGAGACTGGAGTGGGTCCAGTTCCTGTTCGATGTCAACGGACAGCGCCTCAAAGAATCGTCCTGGACTGATATCACCATCTGCTGTGAACACTTCACTGCTGACTGCTTTGTACAGCAGACTCCGGAGACGGCCACAGTCCAGCTGAAGTCCAGTGCTGTCCCGTCACTGTGTATCAAATCAGAGCCGGATGAATCTGAGCCTCCTCAGGTGAGACTAAAATATGTGGGTGATTTTGCTTGAAGAGCTCAAACCTCCGGCTCTTAGTGCACAGAAAGACACTGAAGTTACACACTCCCACCGACACAGCAGATCAAAACAATGCTACAGACTGTTGACAACATATTTCCTGAGAGGTTTGTTTGTTTTGATACACAAACCTGTATGAGTGGGCGGAGTTCACTCACACTTTGACTAGAAAACTACTTAAAATGGGTATCCATTTCATAATGAATTAATACTTAATTTAGATTACTCCTAAAAGAAAAATTGTCCGGAGCCACAGTACAAGTGTAATTGTTAAGTACAGCAGATGTGCCCAAAACATTGTGTGTTTTTTGCTAAACAAGTTGGTGTGTTTAAGTAGTTAGGATTGTATTACTTTATTACTTTACATCATAAAGTGACACACTTACAAACAAGGGTTTGGTAAAAGTTTAAACAGATAAATAAGCAGGTATGTTAGGTGTTCATGCTGGAGGTATTTCCATATTTCTTTACTACAAATACAACAATTACTCTGGGGATCCAACAGATAATAGACATACTCCACCATGTGCTACCTTAAGAGTTCAGTCTATTTTTTAATGTATTTGTGAATCCAAGAAGACTATATAAAGTCTACACACTGCCCAATGTTTTGACCTCTTAACTTATTATATAAATATAGTTTAATTATTTATTATTTATTATTATTATTTTATTTTTTTTGCTAATTTGATTAAATAAATAGGTGAAATGATTAGTTGATTATTCAGTTGACAGAAAATGATCAATTATTTTGGTAATTGATCAATGGTTTAGTTCTTTATCAGACATAAACTGTAAAAATGCTGTAATTTCTCAGCTTCTCTTCATCATAAATCATTGTAAACTTAATATCTTTAAATTATGTACTCTGACAAAATAAGACATTTCAAGGTTCACCTTGGACTCTTGGCATTTTTTTATTATTTTTTGTTTAGTAAACTGAATGATTAATCAAACGGTAGAAATATCAGCAGATTGTTTTTATAATGAAAATGATTTTTAAAAAAGTCCTATAAATTGATTCATTAATATAATAAATCCTAATGTGTATGTTCCATTTTACCCATAGCACTTCTTGTTCTTGTGTCTTTCACAGACAGTGTCAGCAGATGAAGATCACAGCACTACCACCGGGGTCGCTGATATCAAAGAGGAGAGCGAACCCACGGATGAAACGGAGGAATCGGGCGACGAAAGTGAAATGGATTCAGATGAAGATTGGAAGCCAGTGAATGAGCGTTTACTGAATAAAAAGCTTCATAATGATGAATCTGATGAAGAAAGCGAAGGTGACAGTGATAATAATCCTCCGCTGCCCCCCAAACACAGTCAGCTCTGCACAGATTGTGGGATGTTTTTCAATAAACAGAAGCCTCACACGTGTGAACATATAATTAAACCCTTTTCCTGCAATATTTGTGGGAAGAGATGTGTTAGTGAGGTCGCTCTGACATCTCACAGCAGAATCCACGATGCAAACTATGAGCATCCGTGCAAATACTGCCACGTTACATTCAAAACCAAGGTGGACAAACGCACACATGAGCAGATTCATCTAAGTGAAGGAAAGCCCTATAAATGTCCCGACTGTCCAGAGACGTTCGCCACGTACAAGGAATGCAGAATCCACCTGGAGGATCACAGAGGCCCCCGAAAGTTAAAGTGTGACTTCTGTGGGGTTGAATTTGTCACACCACTTTCTCTCCAGAGACACTTAACCGTGCACACAGGAATGAAGCCGTTCAAGTGCTCAGTGTGCCAACGTGGCTTCAAACAGGCAAGCCACCTGAAGTCCCACATGCGTCTGCACACCGGAGAGAGGCCTTACAAGTGTCAGCATTGTGACAAATGCTTCAATCACAACGTGAGCTTGAAGAGTCACGTACAGCGTTACCACTCGTCCAATTCTGGACGTGAACAGAAAACAGAAACGATAAATCAGAGGGAAAGTGACGCTGCTGATGCTGAGAGTAACGGGAACAAGAGAGGTGTAGATTCAGGGCTTGATAATGCAGAGGAAGAACAGGAAATGGAAGAGGAGGAACCGAAGGAGAAGAAAAATAAGAGAAGCACAGGTCGACCCATAGGAAGGCCGAAGCGCTATGAATCAGACAGCGTAGCTCTGGACGTTCAGGTGGAAGGTCAGTGTTCAAACAGAAGGACTGAAAAACGACAGGCGCAGAAGGTAAAGAAAACACAGCGCGGTGATGAATTTAGTGAGGACCAGCCGAGTGACAGCGACATGTCCTTTGATTCAGCGGAGGAGGAGGAAGAGGAGACGAGCAAGAAGGCGATAAAGAACACAGCGAGATCAAGGAACAGATCAAAAACTTCCAATAGTGACTCAGACTTTGACCCAGAAGAAAGAAAGGAAAAGAGAAGCAGCAGCCAGAACAGTGGTAGAGGTTCAGGGAGGCGCAGAGGAAGACCCAGAAAAAATCTAGTGGTGTGAAGATTCTTAAAGAATTCGGTTTAAATAATATATAAAGTAGACATTTATACAGAACTGGACTGAGTTCTGAGAAAATTAAATAATGTGACAAAACATTAGTTTTTACTGTGAAGAGAAGCTGTTGGTTGGATTTGAAAGTACTTTTGAAATGTGTTACCTGATGTTTAAAGTATGAGATCATATTGGATAAAAGTATATTAAACAGGGCTGATCTTCCTTTCTGTTCTGTCAGTCACACACTCTGCTGAGAGGTTCATTTAATTCTACAGACATCTGACAGGTCATCTTTTGTACTGGTATAAAAGCATTGATTCTCAGTAGTGTTGGGTGTGTATTTAACGTTGTGGGACTGGAAAATGAAATGAAAAATGGTCTCCTTAGTGTCACTTATTTATATTGGCTAAAGCTTGAAAGAGTCAGTTAATTATTATTTTAAAAGGCACATTTTCTCACTGTCTTCACTCTACTTTGGTATAATTTACCATGTTTTGAGGTATCTGAGATATCTGTCTAATAAAGAGATGAATTTGGTTTGTAGTGTTCACATCATTGTACGAAGCTTTGTTACATTTTAAAATTAAACTAATATATTTTCCAACAGTGTCTCTCTCTCCCCTGAATAATCCACATACATAACGTTTTATATTTGTTTTAATGAGGCTGTCCCAAATAAAAGTAGTTTAGTAGCTGGCTCTGTGACATTTTGTTAGAAAAATTGGCTTTTATGGGCTTCATTAACCAACGGAGCCCCGGAGTGGCCATAGAGAGTATAAATATACATCATGGCCAGTTTTACTGCATCGAGCGCTCCAAATGCTGTTTTGTGTGCATGAGATACACCTATGTACCCTGTTAATCTGTTTTGCTTATAGAGTATGTTGATTCAGTAAATAATGTAGTTTAAGCCCATACTTTGGTGCAGCATCAATGTACATTGCTATTAGTTTGTTATTATGATAAATATTTCCATTCCCTGTGTAAGAATAGTTGCTCCTGTGATGTTAGAGAGCCACCATGTGGTCAACTTGAGTATTAGCTTTTCTGTATTGTCATTTTATAGTATAACTCGTTTAATATAGTGGTTCAACCCATATTAGTCGATACTCTCTGTTGTTGTATAGGAAACCTGGCCTATAATTACCATCTAAAATATGTGGTAATTTTGCTTTGACAGCTTAAACCTCTGGCTCTTAGTGCACAGAAAGACACTTCAGTTACACATTCCCACCTACACAAACTGTTGACACCAGGTTTGTTTTTATGTACAAGCCTGTCTTGAGTGCACAAAGTTCATTCACACAGTGTCTAGCACACATTAATTGACAGAAGTGCTGCCTGTTATTTGCTTATTACATGAACACATCATATAAATTATTCATTATAAAAGAGGTCAGTGCCACTCTCTAGCTTTATCTAACTAATAAACAAATATTAGTTAGAGAAACATTACGTTATTTTTTTAAGGTAGACAATTTGGTGTGTTTAAGTGGTTAGATATTTATTATTTTTATTTTAAGTGACACTCAGGGTTATCTAGGTGGTTGTTTGTGATGTTTTAGTTTTGCAAGGTCAAAAAACAATGGCAAAGACATAGCGTGGAGTGGAAAAGTAAATAAAAGTAAGTAGGGAATAGGGAATATTTCACTCAAAATGCATAATATATGTGGCTGTCTCACCCTGTTCTGTGGCTAATGTTAATTTCATATTGATCCTTACTGCCTGGGGTCAAGTAGCAGAAGTTAACTGACAATGTTCAAATACCACTGGCCCTTTTTTTCTTAAATATGCAGTTGTAGTCTCACATGTCACTGTTTATAACACGGGGTGTTTATCCTTTGCTGGATGGGCTGCTTTAAAATCAAATTTAGGGCATAAATTAAGATTACATCCACTTCTCCAGTTCACCACTACACCACTGACAGTAGCTGTTTGCTGTTGGCCTGTGGCACACCATAAAGTTTCAAGGGAGAAAACTTTGGGCACTCCTGGTTAGTTGTCTGACGCTATGTTGCGCCGGGATACGCCTGATAACAAACCACGCGAAGCCTGACACTAAGCCCCGCCCACCCCGCTGTCAACACTGCCCGCCACTGCTGCAGATATACAGTTAGCCGTTAGCTCATGTGTGGGACGGTGGTCTGTCCTCAGCCCCCCTGAAACCGCAACGCTGTCCGGTTACTTTTAAAAACTGGATCAGAACCGGCGTCCAGGATGTGCTCGGTGGTCGGGTGTGAGTCGGGGCGTCGCAGTGTGCAGCGGTTCAAGTTACCGGAGGATCCCGAGAGGAGACTGGAGTGGGTCCAGTTCCTGTTCGATGTCAACGGACAGCGGCTCAAAGAATCGTCCTGGACTGATATCACCATCTGCTGTGAACACTTCACTGCTGACTGCTTTGTACAGCAGACTCCGGAGACGGCCACAGTCCAGCTGAAGTCCAGTGCTGTCCCGTCACTGTGTATCAAATCAGAGCCGGATGAATCTGAGCCTCCTCAGGTGAGACTAAAATATGTGGGGGATTTTGCTTGAAGAGCTCAAACCTCCGGCTCTTAGTGCACAGAAAGACACTGAAGTTACACACTCCCACCTACACAGCAGATCAAAACAATGCTACAGACTGTTGACAACATATTTCCTGAGAGGTTTGTTTGTTTTGATACACAAACCTGTATGAGTGGGCGGAGTTCACTCACACTTTTTTTCCTAATAAAGTCCTTTAAATGGGTATTAATTTCTTATTGAATTAATACATGATTTAAATTAATCATTGGCCAGAGCCACAGTACAAGCACATGTTGTTTTTGGTAAACTATTTGGTGTTTTTAGGTATTAACAAACGAGGGTCTTATCAGAGTGATAATTATTGATCAGTTTATATTATTATATTTATAGTTATTGTTCCTCCTTTCACTATTAAAGAGATACATCAGTAATAAGCAAGTATGTTAGTGTTTATATACCAAATTTCCTTCTTACAAATAACTGATTAATTAAGAAACACATTAAGAGTTATAACAGGAATACTAAATGCAACATGTAGAGTACATTATATGATTCACACTTAAATATTTGTATTGCCCCCAGTTGAAGGTTGTTTGTGCTGACAGGATGTTTAATGTGTCTTTATTGAGCCAGAACCCTGTAGTACTGTTGATGCTGTATAATGAGCACTTGCCATGTCCTCAGTATATAGATAATAACATAATAATAATAATAACTAAAGGAATGTGATACTGTGTTACCCCCTCTGCTCACATTTACAGGCCTTTTGTGTCGGTGTACACACTAAGCTTTCATTCATTTTCGTATATAAAATAAATAATGTATTAAGGTACTTTCAGTGTATAAATCAACCAAACACATTTTTGGTGTGTTCTGTGTAGCCTTTGTTACCACAATTCATAGTCAGTCTATGCTTATTTAGTTTCTTTTTTTCTTTTTTGTGTTACTCTGTAGGAGCCTGTGGAAACCCCAGAAGTTGACCCTCAGTGTGATCAACCTAAAACATGTGATAGTCCATCTTCCTATTCTGATGAATCAGGACTGATTTCATTCGGTAAGAAACGTAACGTTGTTATAAATTAATAAAAACTGAGCGGCAAATGTTTTCTTTTTCTGTGAATAATAAACTTTAAATGTACTTTGCAGCTGCCGGAGAAAGCCCAGTGCCAAGTGTTACTTCAGATGGTTTCATGTCTGATTATGGACAGATGCTACAAAATATTGTGAACATTGATATGATCAGAGAAAAGTAAGTTCATCCTCTGTAACAGTTGTCCTTTTATTGCACCAGACTGGCGTTTTAAACCTGTGTCTCATTATTTATTTATTTATTTTTGTTTGAATAATTTTTTAGAGCTGCACTTCTACAGATGAAAGGGAAGTACGTCGTGAATGAAAACCGACTCCTCCAGTTGTTCAGCCGCAAGTGTCCGTTATGTGGTTCTAAGGTAAAGATGGAGAAGTTCACCTATGGGGTGCTCATCATCTTGAACCAACAGTGCCTTCAGTGTGAGTACAGGAACCAGTGGAAAAGCCAAGTCAACGCCAGCGTCCCAGATCAACACTCGAGAGGAGGCATAGATGTAACTCCAGAGACGCAACAGGTAGGATGCTACAACGTATCCACTGCCAGCTTAATATCTTTTTAATTGAATTGTGCATCCGAGTTTTTAAACTGAAACCATACACAAGCTACACCCATGAGCCATAACATTACAACCACCTGGGCACCCACTTGCATCAGTGAGCCATGAGTCAACCCGTCTCTATGTTATTATTCATAACTATAATGCTTTTGATGAGTTATTTCTTTGTGAGCTCTGTGTGACACCAAAGAACATAAACATACACATCAGAAGCATTAAATTGTTTCCCAAACTTCTGTCCAAACCGTCCGTATTACTCTTGTTCGTTCGTTTGCAAAAAGTCAGTGTGAACAGGAACCGGACCAGAACTAAAATGCAACAATTTATAATATTTTTCCCCTGCTCTGGAACAAATGAACCTGGTGTGAATACAACCAATTCAAGTCAATTATCAAGCAAAAATAGTGTAGTGGAGTGCTGGTTTGGCTGCTTCTGTTCATCATATATCATAGTAAACTGAATACCTTTAGATGTTGGACATTTGAAGACTTTGCCTTGGACTCTTGGCAGCGTGATCAGCATTTTTTTACTATTTTTTGTACTTTATGTAGAACAGATAATTAATCAGTTAATTGAAAAAATAATCTGCAGATTGTTTGATAATGAGGAATGAATTGTTAGTTGCAGCCCTCCAAATAGGCCAGTTAGTGCAATAAATCCTAATACTATCTGTTCTTGCTCCTCTAGGGTTGTCTGGTTCCATATTAATCCTGTACAGACTTTTTCCTCATACCCATTCTTGTTATTGTATCTTCCACAGACAGTGTCAACAGATGTCAACCACAGCACTACCACGGGGGTCTCTGACATTGTTGCTGTTATTGTTGAGAAGAGCGATCCCACGGATGAAACGGAGGAATCGGGCGATGAAGGTGAAATGGATTCAGACGAGGATTGGAAGCCAACGAGTGAGAGTTTAATAGACAACCAGCTTCACAATGATGAATCTGATGAGGAAAGCGAAAGCGAAAATGATTATTATCTTCCATTTGCCCACAAACACAGTCAGCTCTGCACAGATTGTGGGATGTTTTTCAATAAACAGAAGCCTCACACGTGTGAACATATAATTAAACCCTTTTCCTGCAATATTTGTGGGAAGAGATGTGTTAGTGAGGTCGCTCTAAATTCTCACAGCAGGGTCCACGATGAAAACTATGAGCACCCGTGCAAATACTGCCACGTTACATTCAAAACCAAGGTGGACAAACGCACACATGAGCAGACTCACCTCATTGAGGGAAAGCCCTATAAATGTCCCGACTGTCCAGAGACATTCGCCACATACAAGGAACGCAGAATCCACCTGGAGGATCACAGAGGCCCCCAGCAGTCAAAGTGTGACATCTGTGGGATTGAGTTTTACCGCGTCCTCGCTCTCCGGAGACACTTAGCTGTGCACACAGGAGCGAAGCCGTTCAAGTGCTCAGTGTGCCAACGTGGCTTCAAACAGGCAAGCCACCTGAAGTCCCACATGCGTCTGCACACCGGAGAGAGGCCTTACAAGTGTCAGCATTGTGACAAATGCTTCAATCACAACGTGAGCTTGAAGAGTCACGTACAGCGTTACCACTCGTCCAATTCTGGACGTGAACAGAAAACGATCAATCAAAGGGAAAGTGACGCTGCTGATGCTGAGAGTAACGGGAACAAGAGAGGCGCAGATTCAGGGCTTGATAATGTAGAGGAGGAGCAGGATACAGAAGAGGAGGAGCAGGAGGAGACAATACATACCCCTAAAAAGAAAAGGAGCTCAGGTAGACCCATAGGAAGGCCGAAGAGAAATGCAGCAGGCAGCTTGGTTCTGGCAGAGGAAACGCAAGGTCAGTGTTCAAACACAAAGACTGGCGGAGCAAAGGAGCAGAAGTTAAAGAGAACCCGCTGCAGCGATGAAGAGATTGAGGGCGAGCTGATCGAAAGCGACATATCCTTTGAGTCGGAAGAAAGGAGCGAGAAAGTGACATCGAACACGTCAAGAGGGAGGGCAAAAAATTCTGACAGTGACTCAATTTTTGAGCCCGAAAACTCACCGAAAAAGAGGTGCAGCAGCAAGAGGAGTGGGAAGGGCTCGGGGAAGCGCAGAGGAAGACCAAGAAAGAATCAAGTAATTGAAGACACATAAAAACACATTGAGCTGGAAAAACAAAAACAGTTACCGAGTTGAGCATTTAGTAAGAGAAATACACTTTCGAGTGTCATAAGGTCTTCCGTGACGTTTCACATGCACACTGGAGTGTTTTCTTTGCCTTTTACTGTTAACACATACATGGTGTTAAGTGCCTGTGTTGTAAATATTCAGTAACTCCATAATAGTTTCATTTACTGTATATAAACATCGGATGTGTTCATTGGCGAAAGGATGGATGGTATGTGCATATTCTGCTTTATTATACATGTCTCCCGGGAAGCCGTGACAGCATGGCCGTCATTCGCATGCACAATACCAGGTCCTGAAATTAAAGCATCTAAATATATAAACTTTATTACGTTTATACCTTCGCTTTTTCTGCTGTGACATGTCAGAATGCATTTTGGCTGCTGTGTTTGCGACATCCAAATTAAACTCTTGAAAACTGAAGTGACTTCTAATAATGCTACATCATGGACAACAACTAGCAGCTGCCAGGCCTTGCAGATTCATGCATCCATGCAGTGTGTAAATCCAATATTTCTGTCTCCACCCCACAACAATAAGAGTGAAAGGATTTGGTCTTATTTGTGTTGTGAGCATTAAGAAGTTACACTGAATCGGGATAGAGATCGGGCTCAAATTAGTTAACCTGCACTGTGGAGGCAGAAATGCCGGAAATGGATGTTGTAAAACCTGCCCAAATAAAAACAAAAAAATCTGCAAACCAAATATCACTGGGGCCAAGTTAGGAAATAACCCTTTAATTTACAGGACATTAATTACGTAGTACTGTGAAGAAATAGGCAAGAAATAACAGTAAGTAATATAGTTGTATTGGGTAACTGAAGAGTTAGATGGAGGCAGAATGTAGAGGTTTGGTTGGAAATTATATAGGAATAATTGTTAAAGTGAGTGGTATAGCCCACATACAGGGTAAGACAGGTGCATTGTCTAAAGTATGCAAATAATAAATCAAATGCACCCTTCTAAGCACTTTGTGTGTTTGTGAAGTAAAGATGCACACAGAAACCTTTATAATGGGAGAGAACAACCCATTGAAGTCGCACAGATTGTTTGACCTGTTGTGTAGTTGGAATAAAACTGAACATCATATATATATATATATATATATATATATATATATACACAACTTATTTTTGTCACTTGTCTTTTATGAGATTTGTGCAAGAAACGACTGCCTGCCACAAACCCACAGTTCTCCATATCAGACAGAAAGCTGCAGCAGGAGTTGACTTTAGCCAGCAGGAAGTTCTGGAAAGGCATTCAATTCAATATTCTATTGAATAGGTACGGAAGAGGATTAGGGCCAAATGTGAAAATTTTTAAAGTAAAAATAAGTTTAAGAATTCTTTAGTTTAAAATCAGAATTTAGAGAAAAACTTATTTTTTATTTTTTACTTTAAACTCAAATAAAATGTTTATATTTGGCCCAATTTATTATTAGTATAATAATAGTAAAGTAATAAGTAATAAATTAAACATAAGATTTATTGTAACCCAGGTCAGACCTGAACCACATCTCTGTGTTGAACTATGCAAACAAAGTCTGCAGCAGTAGAGGAGTTCATCCTGTAAACATTTACTGCTTACAGTAATTAAAGAAAAATACCAATATGTGGATTGTTTAATTAATGGTTTTAAAGTTATGTTATCAACAAGACACTCCACAACTACTGCAAAACAAAACAAAATGGATATAAAAATAGGTTAAATAGAAGTATGTCTTGTGAAATGTCTTGTAATTGGGGTTGAACTGACCTTTTAATTTGTGTTGCTCTGTAAAATTTACTAAACTCAGTAGCCCCACCTGGAAATTAGTAATCAGATTACAGTGGTATTTAGTAAAAATGAGGATTATTAGCAGGATAACAATTTTAAAATACACTTCTGATGCTAAAAATCTTTCCAGTTTCCATTTCCTTTTTAAAGGTTACATTGTTCTGTTGTCTTATAGAAAACACTTTCATCAATACTTCTTATTAAAGTTTATTTTGTCTTGTTTTTGGTTACATATTTCACGTTTAGGTCATCCTAAAGTAACGGGAAGTAATGAGGTGACGTTACTTTAATTTTGTGATACTTGGATTGGGTTACTGACTACATTTTTTAAAAGGTAATTATTATATTGTAACCCCGCGTCTAACCACATGTTACTGAGTCTACTGTACACGGTGGTTATATAGACACTGAAGGCTTTATGTTACCTGACGAGTTTTGAGGTTGTCTCAGTTCAAATAATTGAAGTTTACAGCATTAATAGTGGCTCTATTGTCGCCAACCTTTGTATACAAGGTAATCTTAAAGTAAAATTTAACGCCGGTGAACGCCAGATACAAAACCAGGCGAACCCCGGCCACAGAACCACGCCCACTCCGTTACCACTGCAGCCACTAGCACAAACGGCTAACCGTTAGCTCGACCCCGCGGTTGCCGTTGGAAAGCAGTCGACCGGGACTCATAAAACACTGAACCGTAACGCTGTCCGCTCACTTTCAAACCTGGAGGAACCCAACCGGGGTCCAGGATGTGCTCGGTGGTCGGGTGTGAGTCGGGGCGTCGCAGTGCGCAGCGGTTCAAGTTACCGGAGGATCCCGAGAGGAGACTGGAGTGGGTCCAGTTCCTGTTCGATGTCAACGGACAGCGGCTCAAAGAATCGTCCTGGACTGATATCACCATCTGCTGTGAACACTTCACTGCTGACTGCTTTGTACAGCAGACTGGCTCGGTTCGGTTAAAGCCAGGTGTTGTCCCGTCACTGTGTATAAAGTCAGAGCCAGAGGAGCCTCTGGAGAGCCCACAATGTGTGGTGAGTCTGCTTCCTGATAGCCCTTCACATCCAGTTTAATGCATGTGCAATGTAAATACATACATTAAGTGATCAATCATAAAGACCACAGGCCATTAGCCACAGAGCCCCCCTTGTTTTCATTGATAAGGTTTATCAAACTAAAGAATGACACTCTTATAAAGCAGGATAATGGAAATATATCAGTTTAAAGGACAACTGCGGCGCAAAATGAACAGAAGGTTAATAACACCTGTGTACCGAGGTGGTCTGTCCTCTGGGATGTTTTAATGTTAATCCAACGTGACCAGTATTTTTAGCACAAACCGATAGTTACCTTATAACGCTGGTCAACGGGGCACACAGTAACGTGAAAACAAACCTATTTCTATACCACTAACAAGGCTCAAAATAGCACCACGCTTACACGGTAGCATAACGAGGGCCCCTACCTGTAAACCAAGCATTGAGAACTTTGTAATTGTAAAGACAGTTTATTAAAAAGATAGTTTAGAACAACAGTAGCATTCACGTGTACAGGCTGGGGCCATCTTGGGAAAACAGTCATGCAACCAGTGGGACTGTCTGAGATGTGAAGTGACTCTCTGAACTCACCTTGTTGCAGGAAGAAAGCACTCAGCATGAAGAGAAGCACTCGTTGTCAATGTCTTCAAATTCGGTTGAATGATCCGCCCTCTGTTTAGTGTGTATCCTGTGGAAGCGCTAGTCTCTGTTGCGCTCAGTGCTTTCTTCCTGCAACAAGTTTCAGACCAAGGTGGCCTATGTATCCCACTAATGCCTGTTGATGCAATATGGAGCGTTCCTTTTGTCTTGTAATCGCGACGTGCAGCTCGAGAGCGACGTCACATCTGTGTTTGAAAACGAGTAACCGCGGGTTTCTGCGTTCTGTTTGGCACACAACACGACGAGCTTGGTTGCAATAGGCAGTTGGGACGTTTCGGAACGTTTATAGTGATTATCTGGTTTACGGTGTGCCCACCGCGGATTTCACATGTTCATTACATATTACACAATCATATTTCACAGTTTGATATCTGAATATGTGACGCGTTCCATCAAAATGAGTCGGATGTCGCAGCGGCCCGTTTGTGTAGAAACACGTTTTTACAAGAAAATACAATTTTGGTCTATTTTCAGTTTTTACATGTTTCTAATTAAATAAAGTCTCAGCTTTCATACCATGTCAAAATTAATGTAAAATACAAAGGATAAATATAGCTAGCATAAATAAAACGAAACAGGTGTCAGAGTTCAAAACACCGGCTAGCGTGTTTGTCTCATCTACGTCATCTGTCAACTGTCAGTTGGACATGGAGACAGATTGACAGATTGACTGATTGACAGCTTGGACAAAATTAATTTTCGCGACGACTAAATTGCTCGACTTTTAAATTCAATTCCTGTAAGACATGCTACGACAACTGGATCGACCTTATTACGGACTTTTTCACCGCACTGGCAGCTGAGAGTGAGAGTGACAGCGGCGGCTCGACCTCCGGTATTTCGCGCTACCGACACCGGCCGGCTCCGATCGCGATGGCGAAGAAAGTGAGTGTGACGGAGGCCAGGAGGAAGATGGTAGCATACAATGTCTCTGATTATAATGATGTAAAGCAGTAAAGTTTATTTATTTGAATATAAACTGTCTATAAATGTCTTTCAATTCATTTGGAATATGGCGGAATGTTGATTGCTATCTTTAGAGCGCTTTTTCTCAAAAACAAGGTTTGGTGACAGTCAACCTTTGGAAGGGCGAGTCTCATACAATTTTTGGAGTAGAAAAATAATTTTGGTATCGCCATAAAGCTGAGACTTTCCTCTTTACAGCCATGAAGAAAACTCAAAATGTGTTTCTGGGTCAAAGTGACTCAAAATGATGGAGCAGGTCACATATTCTGTTTTGGTTAACGTTACCGTGGCTACTGCTCTGCTTTCTGCTCAAGACCCGGCACTGTTGTCATAGCAACATGGAGCGTCTCTAGCCAATTTCAGCTGCACAAGCTACAAAATAACTAATTAGGCGTATTTAACACATAATAAGACTGTAGCGACATGCCTATAGGTAACATTATACAGTGCTGTGTGTACGACTTCTTCATTTGGTTACAACAAAGACAAAAGTGCTTAAAATAGTAGAAAACCACAATGTTTACTACGTGTGATGTTCGGAGTAGCCATCTTGGTAACTGAACTCGGGGTCTTCTGAGTTCAGACGACTTCAGGAGTCGTTTTTCCGACCTCGGTGCGTTCTGTTTACAACTTCCGGTCCGTAACTCAGGAAATCGACTCGCAGATCGAGTCGGTTGGACAAAAAGAACGCACCAATATCCCACACATACCAAGGATTGTATTGGAAGCACTTTGCCGCCATCTACTGGTCGAATGTGAACTACATCCGGTTGATGAAACGTGAAGTGTCGGCTCGGCAGAGCACATGAATTTTTGGCTTTTAATTTCAGAAAATTTGCTTGAATGCAAAAACACAAAAAATTAATTTTTTGATATAACTGTAACTTAAATCTGGCAATAAGGGGTTAATCATACACATAGTTATAGGAGTTTTTTCTCTTCACTATAATAAAAGATGACACAGGTTCCTTATTATTAATTTTCTCAGATAAACACGTGAGGAATGTTAGTAGTAAGCCTGGGAAGATATGAAAATTTGATGTGACAATTATCTTGGCCTAAATAATTGAATATATAATATTATACTTAAAATTTCACACTACTGGAATCACTTCACCTTAAATTTTGTAACAGACACATATAGTTATTGCATCATAGATTATCATCTCCCTGTTCTTTATTTTGGAATCTATATTTCCACACATCCTGTATATACTTTTTACCCTTTAGCCTTCCCCAGTTAGTAGTCATAACTATAGTAACTAACCCCTTTGTGCATCCACATAATCAATCTGTCTACAATGTAGACTCTACATGCTGTACGACACAATAATCACAGTGTACTCTACAAATCAACATCAACATCCCTCTTTAAGAGATTTACTGTCCACTTCCATGTTCACAGCGTAAAGTCTGCATGAAGTAAATCATCAATTTTAAAATATTCATAAATTATAGTCCACATCTTGTGTGTCCTTGTGCAGCCTAATTTAAATGCTGCTTGCACTGACAGGTGCTCAATGGCTCATTGACTTATCCCCATAGGGCTGTTGAGGTCACATACAGCAGTGGCTCTCAATCTCATTTCAAATTGATACACATCAGGCCGTGGACCCGTATTTGATATGATGTATAGTTCACTGGCAGATCAGCAGTGAAATCTGTGGACAGAATAGTGATTATTTTACATTCTAACTTTCAGCCAATTAAATAATAGTGAAATATAATATTCCTCATTTTTCTGTGGATGCCCTGAAACCCCCTCAAGGACCCCTAGGGGTCCCCATAACCCAGGTGGAGAACTGGAGGCATACAGTATGATGAGCACTACCGGCTAATGTAGCCATTGGCCATTCAGTATCCACATTGTCCAGTCAGTGCACATTTATTCTCATATAAAGTCAAAGATATGCGTTTATTGTCCTGTAAAGAGCTCTGGATGTAGTTTTAACTATAAGCTTTTATTCTTGTCCTTCGTACAGGAGCCTGTGGAAACCACAAATGTTTCTTTTAAGTGTGACAACCTTAACGCATGCAACAGTCCAACTTCCTACTCTGAAAAGTCTAAACATATTGTAAGAGGTAAGAAACTTTACATGTAGTGTTACATAAAAACTGAGGAGGGTATTTATTATTTCTTTTCATGTGAATACTAAACTTTCTTTTGTAGATGTCAAAAGAAGTCCTGAGTCCAGTGGTGTCTTAGTGTCACCTGATGTTTCAAATGCTGTCGCCTCTGGATCTGACCAAATACAACAAAGAGTCATTAATGATTTAAACCAGGAAAAGTGAGTTGCTCTTTTTCAACATTTTTGCTTACTTTTTTTTTTATATTTAACATTAAGTTTTCTTTTTTAAATCTTCTTTTTATTGTTTTTTTTTTTTAGAGCTGCGCTTCTACAGATGAAAGGAAAGTTTGCTGTTAATGAAAGCTGCCTCCTCCAGTTGTTCCGCCGCAAGTGTCCATCATGTGACTGTAAACTTCAGATGGAGAAGGTCACCTATGGGGTGCTCATTATCTTGAACCAACAGTGCCTTCAGTGTGAGTACAGATACCAATGGAAAAGCCAAGTCAATGCCAGCGTCCCAACAGCTGAGGATCAACACCTGACAGGGGCCACGGAAGGAACTCCATACACCCAAAAGGTAGGACGTGAATATTCAGACATATCCCGACACTCTGCCTGCAATATAATGACCTCAGAACCTGCTCTACACTACAGAGCTCACATTTCAGTAGGGCTGCAACTAATGATTACTTTCATTATGTATTAATCTGCAGATCACTTTATGGTTTGATAAATAAGTTGTTTGGTCCATAAAATGTCAGAAAATAATGAAAAATGTTGAACACTGTTTTTCAAAGCCCAAAGATAATCAGTTTACTGTCATAGAGGACTAAAAAAACAAGAACGTATTTACATTAGAGAAGCTGAAATCAGAGAATTTGTACAATTTTCCTATAAAATGACTCAAAACAATTTATCGATCATTAAGATATATTATAATTTACAACTAATCAATGAATCGACTAATAGTTGCAGCTCTAGAATTCAGTTTAATTACAATAATGAATCTTAATATTTTCTCAGTTTGCACCTCCTTTTTGGTAATTCAGCTATAATATTCTGCTGTTAATGCTATTGTATCATTGTATTGTTCACAGAATATGCGAACAGACGACAACCTCAGCAGAACAGTTTTCTCTGAGATCGTCACCTTTAGCGACGAAGAAAGTGATCCCTCGGATGACGGGGAGGAAGGCGATGAAGGCGGGGTGAGTTCAGACGGGGAATGGAATCCAACCGAGGACATCTTGCTCGCTCAAGAGCTCACAAAGGAGTCTGACGAAGAAACCGAAGATGATGATGAAGAAGAAGAAGAGGAGGAAGATTTTGATTCCCCGGGTGGCCTCAAAATTAATGAGCTCTGCATAGAGTGTGGACGTTTTTTCAGTATTCTGAAGCCTCACACGTGCGAGCACAAAGTAAAGCCCTATTCCTGCAACATTTGTGGCAAACGATGTGTTACCGAGATCTCTCTAAAAACTCACAGCAAAATCCACGATGAAACCTACGAGCATCCGTGCAAATACTGCCACGTTACCTTCAAAACAAGGCTGGACAAACTAAAACACGAGCAGACGCATAAAGATAACAAAGATCCCTATAAATGTCCAGACTGTCTGGAGACATTCGCCACCAGTAAAGAACGCAGAATCCACCTGTCAAATCACAGAACGCCGAAGGAGTTCAAATGTGGAGTTTGTGGGATTGAATTCAAGGACGTGCATCATCTTCGGAGACACTCTGTAGTGCACACGGGTTTGAAACCGTACAAGTGCTCAGTGTGCGAGCGCGGCTTCAACCAGACGAACCACCTGAAGTCCCACATGCGTCTGCACACGGGAGAGAAGCCTTACAAGTGTCAGCATTGTGACCGTAGCTTCAATCACAACGTGAGCTTGAAGAGTCATGTCCAGCGATACCACTCGTCGGGCTCTGCACGCGGCCGGAAGAAAAAAAAGATCAAGGAAAGGCTGAGCGCCACTGGTGATGCCGAGGACGACGGGAACAAGAAGGGCACAGACTCTGAGTTCAACAATGTAGAAGAAGAACAAGACACAGAAGAGGAGGTGCGGAAGGAGAGAACCGATATACGAAAAAGTAGAAAGAGGAGCACAGGTAGACCCAGAGGAAGGCCGAAGAGGAATGCAGAAGGCGACTTTGTTTTGGAAGGGGAAAAAAAGGGCCCACGTTCGAACACTAAAACTGGAAAATCAAAGGCGCAGAAGTCAAAGAAAACAGGTTCTATCGATGAGGAAAGTGAGGACGAGCAATCAGACAGCGACTTATCCTTTGACTCTGGGGAAGAGGAAGAAGAAGAGAAGGAGACAGCGAGAAAGAGCACGGCGAGATCAAGAGGAAGACCAAAAAATGACAGTGACACTGATTTCGACCCAGAGGAAGAAACCAAGAAGAAGAGGTACAGCAGCCAGAGCAGTGGTAAGAGCTTGGCGAGAGGCCGGGGCAGACCAAAGAAGAATGTAGCAGTGTGAAAAACCTTAAAACACACAGCTGAAGGATTAATTTGGTGTGAGTGATGGTGAAAAGAAAGAAGCCATTAAGATCAGAGGCCCACAGAGAACTGGACTGATATCTCTTGAGTAGATATATAAAAACAAAACATCCACACAGGCCAGTGTCTCTCTGAATTAAATTGTCTTTTAGTCTAAAGACTGATACTTTTAAACCTGTTAGCTGAACATGGGCTTATGTTAAGTCTCGAGTTCCTTTCAAGAAAAAAAAGTTGTTTTTTTTTTGTTCAAAATCAGTGCGAAGAGAAGTTAACTTTCACCAATGAGACCAGCCCTCTCGATTATTTGATGTCACTGACAGTGAATGGGCAATAAATGGGGTCAGGGTCAAGTTTATATATTGTAATAATATTGTTAAAAAAAATACCTTTCTACTTACGACACTTTGACAGTTTCTTTTCTTATTTCACTCAATAACTGTATCTTGAAGTATTCAGATTGTTCATTGTTACATGTTTTGATTTATGAGTATTACAGTTTTACCAGTTAAGGCTAATGAATCAGACTCAATCAATGACGATGTTCACTTACACAATGCCTTCAAATCTATAGAAACAACAGTATCTCTGTAGTTCCACCTAATACATGTAAGTATTGGAGTGTTAATAAAAATGTCTGTTCTCCTCTTAAGCCCGAGCTTCAGTGATAATCAGTGTGGCCTCACTGTCAGAGATGATTTTAAAGGCCCGTACCAGTTGTTTTGTATTGTTTACTCCATTCACTACAAATTGATGATTCGGTTTACATTGCTGCTAATTTTGGTTTCCATTTTCTTCAGTATGCTACAAAGTTTGTTATGGTTCTGTTCTGATCCAATAATTATACATTTATTAAACTCATCTTGGAACGTTCGAGGACAAACCGTCATCTGAGATGTTTTTGTGCATCAACATTTCAATGCAGCAAACTGACCCAACCCACAGTGTGTTTTCATGATATCAATGTTGGATCACAGTTTGCCTTCTGGTTGTCACCTCTCCGACACCAGCGTTCATCAGCGCAGTGATTTTGTGACAAAATATCAGTTCTCAGACCTCAGAGCTTCCCTGAATGCACCACTGAGGAGGGCTTTGGTAATGTTGTTATTAGAACACAAGTGTATAAAATACAGTTTAATAAATGAATGAATAAATAAAAAGCTATCCAAAACATAGTTTCAAGTCAAGTCTTTCCATAACATATAGACGCTATGATTATGTCAATAAATGCATCAATTTAGTAGTCAGTATCGTGGTCTGTTAAGGGACTCCAGATTTCTACATAAAACGTAAAAATAAATGTGTCCTACTGCCTTTTTTGAGAGTTTGTCATCTTACCTGACCTGTTAGCTTGTAGAGTATTCACCGTTCTTCACATTTCTACTTTAAAAAACACCAAATCAGACAAACTGGTCCTTATCCAACTCTAATGGAGCTGCTGTGGATTTAATTTATTGCCAAAGGAGTGCACTTTTCCCTCTACCTTGAAATTCTTGAATGTATGTGTATTGTAGTCCAGAGTTCCCACTTTGATCAGAAACCCTGAATGAATCCCCCCCGCTTACATGTTTATCCTCTTTCTGTGTGTGTGCCAGTGCTTAAGCTTGCTTCAAGGCCTGTCACGTTTTTTGGAGCGTTGCAGAAACTTCTTCTGCTTTGCACTCTGGGAAAGAGTCAGCCTGTTGCTGGGGAAGCCCGAGGCTGCTTTGTGGATTATCTAGCTGATGGTTTGCAGATCTAAACGTGGGCTAATGTTTGGAGAACTGAAATAAAAGGAATTTCTTGAGATTTGTAATGAGGTACAAATCCTGGTACTTTACTAAGACATTTCAGAGCTATATTTGAGGATGAAGTATGTGTGCACATAGACGTATATGAGTCTTTTTGAAGTCTCTAATTCAACCAGATGTGTAAATCAGATATCTGATTCATACTTTTATTTAAAGTATTACAAGCCCTCAATAACACATCTAAACTATCGCGCAGTTGGGGTTTTAATAAAAATAACAAGACAGAAAGCAATATGAGCCTCCTGATTGGTCTTAATCATTTTGTCAATTTGAGAAATCAGCCACAGAATTAATTCATTTGAGACTTCATCTTCATTTTGTCACATTGCACTTTGGCTCCTTTTCCATCACTGAGGTTTGAAATCAAGGCCGGCGTATAACCAATAACACAGTAATTAGTTTAGCGTGCATTACAGATTATTCAGGAAATTGTATTTTTCATTTCTCTTCGCTCTAGTGATGTGTTTAGGGTGATTTCCATCTTGTCTAAATTAACTAACAAGACACTGCAATTTAATAAGAGTGAGACTTCTGAAATCAGCACATTCAGGTAAAAACTGTGTATTTGACTTATCCAGGTGGTTACAAGTAATGGCACAACATTAAAAACCATCCATGACTTTCCCCTAGGGTAATAAAAGTTCAAAGTGTTTAAAACACTTACTGTTTATGACTATTTTATAGATTATTATTCATGCATTAATGTAAAAGTGTAATGTTACTGTTGCACTTGTTGAGGTGGAGCTAATTTTGAAATATTTTGTATGGGACTTATTTTTATTGTGGATTAATCTGCTGATTATTTTTTTTTATGAATTGATTGTTTGGTTTGTACAAATTCTGAAGTGACTTTCCGCCCTTTTATTAGATAAGACAGCTAAAGATAAGCAGGAAGAGGGCAGAAAAAGAGGGCATGACATACAGCAAAGGGCCACAGGTCAGGCAAGGAGTTAGCCTTTGTACATGGGGCACCAGCTCGAAGAGTTGAGCTATCTAGGCCCCCATATTACTTCCAGCTGGGACCCCAAAATGGTTTTGCATAAAAAAAAAAATCAAATAGGTGCCACGCTGTGTTTGTATATGATATTTGAAATTATAATAAAACATCATATTTTGTAAGAGTTTTGTATATTTTGTATGCAAAAAAAGTTACTTACTGTAAGCTGTGAGCTTAATGTAGTGGGAAGAAGCAGAAAGGGCCTCAAATCTTTACTTAAATACAGTACTTGTAAATGTAAATGTACTAAATGTCAGCGAGTGATTGTAGTTACCTGCTAGTTACCGGACTACCACTAGATGTCCTCCTTGGGCCACAAACTCATTTAGCAGCATAATAAATTAGATGACACCCATCTCTCCAAGGCAGTTACTATGGTCACAGTTATTTCTGCTGTAATACCTGAGTTGGCCTGTCCAACGAGTCAGTGTGCTTTCTCCTCTCCTCCTTTCTCTCCCTTTCCTCTTCCCTGGGAGTATAGAAATCAGGTTTTTAGTGCAGTATCTCTCCCTCTCCATTCATATAGGCTCTATAGGTGACCTCCCGGTCTTGCAGATATCCCTTCTTAGAGAGTAAAGTATTAAATAGGAGCTAAGATGCCCTGACAGAGCCAGCTGCTGATGCTGGCAAAAGTAATGTCATTTACTCACGTCACAAGGACATTTTACATCTATTTTCTTGACATTTTTTATGTTTTTTATTATTTTTAATGGCTGACATGTTTTTTTTTCCTCCCTTATTTTCTGCCTTTTCTTCCTCAGGCTCTCTCTCTACTGGTATAACTCACACTCTCTGCCTCCCTCTCTGGGGTCTGATGATTTGAAGCTGGTCTTTTAAAGATGTCAGTTAAACAATCAGAGCTGCTCTCTGTTGACAGAAGACTAGATTGATGCTTTGAGACTTGAGATGAGGAGTGCATCATGGAGATAATAACTGCTTTGGCATGAGCTAGAACCATCAGTGTGAACTGAGGATAATATTTATTTGGCACCGTAAATCCACTGAGTACGGTGTAGATCACTTGTATTTCTGTTCATTTCTTCCAGTCAGGAACATTACGAGAAAGAGGGGTGCTGAAATCAAATGAGCTGTGAGTGGAAAGTGAGGAGTATTTCCACAAGCAGCTAGAGCCACTACAAACTTCTTTTACATTCAGGTTTTTTTTCCTATTTGCTTGAGAAATCAGATCTGAAAATGGGTTTCTCACACAGGAACTCAAATGTCTACCAAATGTCAGAGTTCAAACAGACAGGAATCCACCTGGACAAGATGACATTTTCTCACTTACCACTTCCCAGGCAATGTTACTGGTTGTTTATTGGAAGGCACTTTAGACTGTTCACCTTTACTGTCTTCTGTTCTCTGTGTTGTGGTTCTCTATGTTCTGTCATAAACTATTTGACACCTTCAAAGCCGATGTCTAATAAAGTGTAATATTTTCTTTATCCTTTTTTTAAAGCTAAAATCATGTAATGTTTTGTTACCTTATAATGAGCCGTTTTTATATATAGACGCCACAGGTCACCTTCCATGGAGTTAGCCATATTGACCTGCCATGTTGCTAGACCAGATCCTACACACCAGACCTCTAAAGGAATAGTTCAACACGGGAAATATGAAGCTGGAGCCGGTTAGCTTAGCTTAACATGGAGACTGGAAACTATAGGGAAACAGCTAGCCTAGCTCTCTCCAAAGGTAACAAAATGCACACCTCTAAAGCTCACTTATTTACAAGTTATATGTTGTTTGCTCAATCTGCAGAAAAGTGTAAAAACATAATTTTACAGGGGTTCTGTGTGGAACTGGTACAGTCGGCCATGGTAGTTTCTCCCTCACGCAAACAGAGGGTGAAGCGAGTGAGTAGCAATCTGCAACTACACCGCTAGATGCCACTTGATCCTACACACCGGTCCTTTAAAGGAATCATTTTGACATTCTTTGCTCGTTTGCTGTCTTGTTGAGAGTTAAATGAGAAAGTTGGTGTTTGTCTTTTAAATATGAAGCTGAAGATAGCCGCATAAAGACTGGAATCAGAATTTGTTACCTTTGAACAGAGCCAGCTGTTTCTCCCTGTTTCCAGTCTTTGTGCTAAGCTAAACTAACCAGCTGGCTGTAGTAGTATCAGTCTCATCTATCTCTTGATAAGAAAGCGAGTAAATATATCTACCATATATAAATCTAAAAAAAAAATCTTTTAATGGGAGGATTAGCCACCTGAACTGTTTAACGATCCCCTGATATGAAAAAATTTTCTGTTGTTTATCTTGAAAGGTTTTTGCATACATATTCCTCTCGATATCTCTTCCTCTGTATATAAAGTTTCACTGCAGTAGTTTTCTTTGTCATTCATTGTTTAGAACGGGCTCCTCTTCTGCTGATGTTCAGTGGGAAGACTGAGTGCTGTAATACAGTATTTATCAATCACGCAACATTTGTATTCTGTTATTTACCGTAACCCCCCCCTATCTGTGCAAAATTACCCCCATCAACAGTGCAATCACCTGTCTCCTGCTATCCAGCCTGGTTGACTGGCAGTATTAGTTTGCACCCTGTGTCACAGTGCAGCATCGTCAATCCAAACCAGCAGGGACTGAGTAGTATGTCAAGGATGTCAACAACTTTTCTCCGTGAGTTGGGAGCTGTGTTAGATCTTAGTCAGAGATGAGCATAAATTTGATGGGAGAGGGGCCAAAAAATCCATACTGTTGTCAGTTTTGAATATAAATCCACATGTGATCACCGCATTGTGAACCCTTTCATTAAATCTGTGTGAGTTTCAAATGGCAGTTTTATTGTTTACAGCAGAGATACACATGTTAGTGTATACGCATGCATGCAGCTCCATTGTTAATAGAACAAACCCTTTTGATGAACAAAAACTTAAAGATTTTTTTTGCAGTACTGGAAGCTTGCCTATGAAACATTCATTAAAGCATTTTTAGAAAAGAACACACTGACTTAAACAACATAGTGAGAAGTATTGAGCGTTTCTTGCTGTCTAGTGCAGATTTCATGCCTTATCGCATCTATTCATGTCACTGGTATTTTAAGATTTGTAACTGCAACTGAGAGATGCATTCAGACAGGTGCTGTTATAAGTATTATGCATCATGGTAAGGCAACGAGCTGCATATTTGAAGTTGACATGGAACGCTGAACCTGTTCGTGGTCTACAAGTTTCCAGTGTAAAAGGAATGATACCTGACAGATAATATCAACATCTCCAGCATACTGCATTCATTCAGCATTCAGCAACTCTGCCTGTTGCTGTCCTCGGCAGGGATCAAACCTTCAGACTCTAGCAGATAAGGAAATCCAGCGTTAGAGAAAAATATGCTGCACCAGAATTATTTTGTGACATATTCATAATATGAAAACATTAGG